ATACGCACTAAAGCCGCCGGATTTGGGATTAAAGAACACAAATGTTATCAGAGATCATTTCAAAGCTGCTGGATCGGCTCAGCCGGACCATGGGATTTCTTGGTCGAATGATTTGATGACACTCGAGCAATGAGCGGAAATCTGAGTTTTATTCAACATCCCTTTCTTCTTTTCGGGCAGTATGATTACTTATGAACCATTTGATCAAAACGTCTTGAGGTGTGATTGTGCCTGGTTTTTATCCTGCATCCTACCTCTCTTTTTATTAAAATCGCCTGTCATGAAGAACACCCCTACTTCTGACTCTTTGCAAAATCCATAGCGAAGTTAGATCAGCTAACTGTGAGCCGCGGTACCCACATTACTGACCCTCTCTGTCCTGTGCACGCCCCACTGGCTGACCCCAGGGACCAGTCCGTACGAGTTCCCGCTCTGGGTTGGGAATGCGGAGAGCATCAGCTTTTGGTAAACAGAAATCCTCCAGAAGATATCGTAACAATCTGATAGCCGGTTTAGACAGGAGTGGGTGAAGTGTTTAAGGGAACAAATGGACCCAAAGTGAAGGATCTGCAGGAGCAGAGAGAGATATGACTCTTTCTCAGGTCCTGATCCCTGGCTGCCCCTGTGCCTGTGTGCTCGGCCACTGATTGAGACCAGATTGACTCTGATATGCCAGAGTGACAGAGTACTACATGGAGCCCAGTGGCACTTGCTTCCTTCAGCTGTTCAGTTTTTTTTTTTTTCAGGGCAGTAGATGCTTTAAATGCTGCACAGATCTTTGACTCATTCTGACGCCAGCAGCAGTGTGTGTTCTGAATGGTAGCGTGCCCTGAGGAGCTGTGTATCCCCTTTGGCTAAGAGAACTTTCATGTCAGGGCCAAAACCCTGTCTTTCCTGATCTTTACAGCAATAGCTGAATGGATCTCTAAGTCATAATCAGTTATGAGCTGTCCTCCTCTTTATTCCCAGGACCCGCACGGGGCTCGACAGAGATGGAAAGATCTTATGGCCACAAAGCTGAAGACTAGAGCAAAAAAAACAGAATTGCACAAAAACAAAACACAACCTAATCATCGTGGCTCCAAACACATCACACATAATGTTCACACGCATGCACTGTAAGACCACCCCTGAGAGCTGACCCGGCCGTGCCCCCCCCCCCGCCCCCCCACCACCGCTCAGCGCTGGCGTGTGTCCAGGACAAACTGGGCCTCTCCGTAGGGAACAGTAGAGGCTTGAGGCCGCGCTGCTTAGCAGGCGCCGAGGGGCCGGCAGGCTGCCAGTGGTCAGTCCTCTCCCCGAGCTTCTGGGAATGGTGTCACACTAACCCCCCCCCCCCCCCCAATCCCCATCCTCACACCAGCCTCGGTCGGGGTGACGGGGTCAAGAAAAGAACAGCACCGCGATGACCGAGCAGCTGGACGCGCCGTCATGGATGAGATCACTCTGGCCGACGTCCAAAGGAGCGGCGAGCCAGACCCCTGACGTCTGAGCTGTCTGCATGAAGTCACCCCTCAGGCACAGATTTCCACAGAGCAGCGGTAGCAGCAGCAGCAGGACGACCTCCGCGGACGGGCTCAAAACACAGCCCTGCGAACGTCCATCAGAGAACGGCGTGATGACAGGAAGAGGGGGGTGTATTTTCATTGGACTGAAACTGTAAGTGCTCATTTAAACCTTAAAGATGTAGAAGGATGATGGACTGTCATAGAAAAGAGTGAAAAAAAGAAAGACTAAAACTGGTCCGATCATCCCCATAATCAGGCTACTGCTGGAGTACAGGAGCAGCTCTTATCTGACAGAAAAACCTTGACAACTAGGTTGGAGCTTCTTTCATCCAATAGACAAAATCCAGAAGGCAGGCCTCCTGATATCATTCCAAGCTCAACAGCCCAGCTGGCCCAAATCCTTTTTTTATTGCTCCATCCGTAAGAGCAAAGCAACGGATCTGTTTCTAAACCAGCAGGTAAAGTACGTGCACTGCACACCCAAGTAGAAAAATACACGTACACACACACACAGTGCATATGTGAGGCACTCAGAAATGGAAATGAACGTGGAATCTGGGAGGTTCTGGAGCTGATAAGTTAGCAAACTCCTCCAGGACAACAGTGATAAGGCAGGCATTCTAATTGGATGTTGTAAGTTCTCTTAAAAAGCAGACCATTCTTAGGAAAGCAGAAAAAACAGGCGGGTTGCGTGATTTTCTGAGACTTTATGCCTGTGGCAGCAAAAGCTGTCAGAGCATATAGCGAGTGTCCAACGTAAAAAATGGAATAAAACTAAAACAAAAGATCGTCAGCGCCATGAAGGGCTGATCGTATCCGGCAAACAACAACTGCTGCCTACTGTCCAAGAGGAGATGAAAAACATAACCTTTCCGTTCAATTAGTCAAATTATTTAAGAGCGTTTGTTAGTTTTGTTGATATAAAAACACACTGCCCATTAACCTGTGGCCTATAAAAAGACACCGGCTCAGCAATTAGCCCACATTCCCAAACATATCCAGCTGCCTCCATGTCCAAATGACTATAATTCTATGCAACATGGTAATTTCCCCAGCAGTGGGCGCATGCCTGGTGTGCTGCTGATTATGGCTTTTTGGGAACTTATAAAGACTGTGGTTTCCTGGAGGGAGACCGCATCAGCTGTCATATTCATAATTATAGTATTTCTGCTATTTCTATCAATCATATAATTACTGTGTATTTGCTATTTCTATCAGTCATGTAATTATCATCCTCATCTTGTTTCTGCAGTTTATTAAAGTCTTCATGAAGCTAAAGATCCTTGATCTACATGACATTTGGTACCATGAATTCCCTCGTAAAGCAGAGTGTGATTATCAGTTAACAGCCCTTCCTAAAAACCTACCCAGTGGTAACAGCTGCCCCTCAGCTCCTCCACTCCATAAATTTAGGGCAATTTAGATTTGAACTCCACTAATGAAGCTGCCTAACATGGAAGAGGGGGGGTTATTGCTCTCACACCTGGCGCTGAGGCCATACACAGGAAGTCTCAGCAGGACTGACACCTGGGAACAATAAACTCTGTGCAGACAATTGCAAAATCTAAAACCAGGGTACAAGGAAATTGTAGTTAAAGCTTCAAACAAAGAGCATGAAGATAATTATCTGGACTAATTCAGCTTCATCATTACTGGATGAAATGATTAAGACTAGGGTCTTGATTAAATGTGTTCTTGAATAGAGATAGGTTTCAGATACAAAAATACCTAAATTGTTACAAATAGTTTCCAGATGAATCAGGTGCTGCACTGTTAGATTTAGGCCACGGTAATCCTTTTAGCCTGAGTAAGGGTAACTGGGCTTCCGTTCAGAACTGGTAAAGCCTTTGAGATGAGAGGAAAGCCATCTTAAACTCCATAAAGAGTCCAGTTTCCTTGAATCAGGCTGTTAGGGTCACTATTAGGTGTTTACTGGCAATCAAATTAGCTTATTATAAACACAAATTATCTTTTTTTAAGGTTTAGCAGCTTTGTCACACATTGCAATACCAAAGCAATCTGCACACAGCACAGCCCATATGAAGAGGGAGTATTCAGGAAAGGAAACTAAAGAAGAAAAAAAAAAAGGTTATCTTGAGGGCAATTAGTGAAAGACACTCTCCTCTGTTTTGCCACAGTTGAACCACTGATTGTGACAGAGGAGGCGATTTCGGTTGTATGTGCCTCCATTATGTTGATAGCAATCACTGGATCATGAGGGGAATTAGAAACACTCATTTTCCTCAAAGCAGAAACAATAAGATGTATACGAGAAGAGTAAAACTGCACAAGCACTGAAATTGTCCTGCAAACCACATGACGAACAAAACAAGGATGAACTGTAATCCAAATCATTTGAGCTGTGAGCTCGGTAATCTGCTGTTTGTCGGGGAAATGCTGCAGAGATCTGAGAGATAATGTGGTCCAAGTTTACAACTCAGCCTCTCTGTAAATGTGTTTGTTTCTTGTCCACGGTTAAATTCAGAAATGATCAGATGTGCGCACATAAAGCACTATGCATGTAGTGAAAATATATGCCGACAACCACACTATATTGTGTGTTGGCCTGTGTTCAGACACACATATCCGACTAACTTCAGCATACTGCAACCCAAACTTTTGGAACCAGAGCGCTGGAAAGTGCAAGAAGGTCTTTCCAGGATCGCACCAAACCCAGTCAATGGGAACAGCCCTCCCCCCCTGCACTTCTCTAAAAAAGGCCACCATTGTATGTAAGAATCGCCATGGATACTGCCAGCGAACTGTAAGCCTTTTAGAATTATAAGCATTCCTCTGTACCCTGAGCACTGTAGCAAAGCTGCTTGCTTTACCGTCAATCTGCCTTCAGACGAACACACCATTTCTTTCATTAGCAACTACAGGAATTTCCATGTGGCTGGGAATTAATTAAAGTCGAATTATGGGCTGCAGCAATATTGAACTCCCCAGTCAAATTCAACAATACGCGTAGTGGGTAAGGGTGAATGCGGCCTTGTTCGGGAGCATGGTATGAGGGTTGGCCACATGTCAGGAGTTATTAGGCAAGATCACGATGAAGAAAACAATGTCACATTTTACACAAGAATTTTATACAAGGTTCACACTGATCAATAAACATGGCAAGTGGGGCTTCCTTATAACCATTTCATATGTTCAGATTCCACTTCCTCTACCACCAGTAACATGGTAAATATAATCTAATTTTAAAAATTGTTTTATTCCGAATAAAAAGGGGGAAGTCTCACCATTTAAGCAGCTCATACTGAATTATGTTCAATTTTGTGTGTCTGTGTTGTTCTGACAGGGACTACCAGGAAAGTACCCTCAGCTCAGCAGTTATTTGACTACGAAGAGAGCACGGGACAACAATATTGGACAGTAAAAGTATTATGCCGTTTTTAAGTTTTAGTAAAGAAAACAAAAGTTTACGGTTTAACGTTTTTGCTCTTCCGGTGTGTAAGAAAACCTAGTAACAATGATGACAAATCAAATGCAGGGATGAATTCTTGTTTAATGACTTTTTTTGCAACTGACAGATTTCTAGTGCTGTTACGTAGTGGTCTGGCATGTTGACAGATAATGTGAATCAGGACACTTTCATAAGCGTTGCATTCGGAGTCCATTAGTATTCACTGGGGGACGTTACTGCTCCGTTCCTGCCACTTCAAACAGCCACTGCTGGTTATGAAACCTGGGCAGGACCCTGCTGATTAGACAGAGTGGTTCAGGTTAACTCAGTAACACGCTACTGTTTGCTTTTTGTCTGTCGACGGAATCCTGTGTGGCTGTTTGCTTTAAAAATGCTACATTCTTACCTTGGCCACAAGTTGTGGCTTGGGAACTCCTAACCAATCACAGAGCTGATTCCTATGTGTCCGTACAGTGGCAATGTCACTCTCCCTGGAATGGACATATACAAAGCTTTTCACAAAACCCTAAATACTGATTATTTGACCTGTAAAGAAATATATTTGAAAAGAAATGCAACCAGTTTAACAAGAACCATACGAACCAATTAGTGTCACTTAATAGGGTCATGACATCATCCAACACCTCAGGATCTATGACGTCCTCGTATGTAAGAAGCATCTCATACATCTGGCTGGCTGTGGTCTTCCTTATCTAAAGTTGTAAGGAAGAGTTAAAAGAGTTTGCAAAACAGTTAAAAAGCAGTTTTAAAAGAAAGTCGACATCCCTGCTGGCAGCTCCGTAAGTTTTCTGGCAAGATAAATTAAATATAGGACTGACTATAACAACTCAAATGGAAGATTGACTTGATGACAATACAAAAGGAAATCCATGGGTTTACAACAATAATCAAAACGGATCCAGGTGGCATGAATGTCAGGAAATTCAAATCAATCTGTTGTTAAATATATCTTTAGCTCTATGAACTGACTGACCATTTACATTGCTGGCTGAAAACCACTTCACATTACATGTTAACTGAGCAGGACGAAGCCAAAGCAGACAGATTTGCTGCCATGTAGAAATCTTAGACAGCTTGAAGTGAATATTTTTACTTGTTAACCTCTGGTAATGTTAGATGAATGCTTCTCCACTCAGCTTTTTCCATGTAACCCTTTAAAACACAAGTGCATTCCAAACTGCTTTGCATAGGAATTTGAAATAAGAACTGCAAAACAGGTAGCGCACAAACAAGCTGTCATTTAAGTATGAGCGTATTCAAGGAGGCCTGTATTGAGATAAGTTTTAAAAACGGGGAGTGTATCAGAATTTCATCCCTCAACAGGGAGCTGGTGGGGCCTGGAAACTAAAAGCTCTGCTCCCATTTTAAGTCTGCGAACTCTGCCAAAAGCAGGCCAGCATTCTGGGAGCAGAGAGCCCTTGTGGGGTAATCTTGTGAACTTACCACAGGGAACGAGTGGCAGAGGAGCAATAGCAGCTGGGACAAAACCTTCTTCCTCACTTCACCCTGGAATTGAACCAGCCCACTGAAACTGGGAAACACAATCCAGAACAGTCAACAGAAATGCTTAATTTCTTCAGTGCTGTACAGGAATCCCAGATTTATCGATGAGGCGAACACTTACACAGCTATACAGGCACGCAGTTTGGAAATATCTTTGGATTTCTTGAGCTCTTTGCAAAGGGCCAGAAGATCCACACAGAACTGGTGACTTAGCAGACACAGACAGAAAAACTTTAATCCTCAGAGATATGAACATATACTCATATATTCATCTATAATGAATATGTTACGATAAATGTGTCCAAAACTGACTTTTCTTGTTTGGCGAAAATTTCAAAAGAGCCATTGGCAAGCATCTGATTGAGCATCTTAAGCAGGGGAACAGAAACCCTAAAGAAAAAGGATAAAACAACTAAATACTATGACAGTAAAGGCTGATGGGTAGCGGTAAAAAGAACAAGGGCTCACTTATTTACCTGTCACTGTGGAGGTTGTCTCTGAAGATCCTCAGTAAGGAATCTCCAAAATGTGTTAGAGCAACACTATCATTTTGAATCTCTTTCAAAAACTCAAACAGAAATCGTGAAGAAAAATGAACCTGGAAGCAGAAACAAACGCCGGTCAGTCGAGCTGGAGCCTCAGGGTCAGAGCAGTGGGTATTAAAAACCCAAATCTACACAATAAACTCTCTACGAAAACCCAAGTTGGGCAACACAAAGAGGGGTTCTCCAACTTCTGTCCCTGCTGTATATCCCAAAGGCTTTTTCATCAACTCAACCTAAAAGGTAGACAATGTGAAAGCAACTCTCACACACATTTCTGCGTGCTCGCTGGTAAATGAATATGACTCTGGGGGACCCTGGAAAGAAAAACAGCACGACTAGCGCTATCATCACACTGCACGGTGTTAAGCTGTGCAGCGGAGCAACACAACAAAGCAACAGAATGTCCAAACAGATAAAGTTACTTTGAAACTTTGGGTCTGATTATTCCCCCAATTTTTTGTAAGATTTTTGTTTCCTGTTCCAAAGAAACCTAAAGACTGTGAGAGTCTGCGAATTCTTTCCTTCTAACTTGTTTGTTGTACTTTTTTGGGGCTCTCTTAACAGTTTCTGTAGCCTGGCCTCAGCTGAGCTACATGATCCATCGGTGCTGAGACAACTTCTGGAAGTGAGCTGATGCTCACTTTCTCTCTAGCCTGCCTGAATATGTGCCTGTGGTGTGAGAATCTTAATGTTGGCCCATGAATCGTTGCAGCCTTGGCTCAGTTTCCTTAATGCAACCCTGTACAAACATATCAGTCCCTCTCGTCTCTGAGGATGTATCTGTAGCAGAGAAAGGTTAGAAAAGCAGAAGATGAAAACAAGACGAGGGCTAGATCGTCTCTGTGGGAGCATGTTTACAGCCACAACTGGCAGATAACTTTAACTTTATTGGCCTCGGTGTTGCTATTGCAGGCTTTAAACATATTTTCTTTGCAACATACACAAACACTAAAAATCTAAAAATAAGTTCCATCCACTTGGGTGGAACCCTTTCTGAATGGCTGGCTCTCCCAGGCTTGGTCCTGTCGAGGTAAACTCAACTCAAGCCTTGAGCCCAAGCTGAACCCCCAGAGATGTTGAGTAAAGAGTTTCTAGTGGACTGCAGCAAGTTGACTAGAGATTTCCCTCCTGAGAGGTTTCCTGATGTCCAGTACTACCAGGGACCAATATATATTAAATGAGTCCTTTGAGCTGTGGCAAAATGGTGGAGAAGAATGTAGGGTTTTAAAAAAAAAAAGTGTTTAGAACTGAGAGAGTCAGGTGTTTTACAGACAGCCTTATGGGAAATACTACACCAATCACAGTGCTCCCCCTGCTGGTGACACCCAGCAACCAGAGGACAATTCTGAACACGCAAAGCGAGTCCCTGTGACATGACTGACGCCCTGGAGTGCTGACGTTTAGCAAGCCTCGGAAAAAACAAAAAACAAAAGCTGTAGTGCGGAAAAGAGCTGCCTGAAATTCTTTGACAACGATGTGAGGGACTGACGACCTCAAAAACAAAACAATCATTTCAAACTCTGTAAACTCTAGAATTATGGTATGCAGTTCCATTTCTATTAGTTTTTTTTACTCACCACCTCTGCCCTTGGGCTCAGTTTAGGTCAGTAAAGTCACTTCATAAAACTTTGTTTGCTGCTGACCCTGTCAGGTTGCATTTCCTGATTCAGTACCTGGTGATCTTCCATAGCATATTTTATCCCATCTTGCTATTGAGAACGAACTACTAAATACTTTACATGCACCTTTTAAATGTTATGTATTTCACATTTAAATCTAAAACAGCCGTAAGGATTAGAAAAATATGAATTTGAAAGAAATGAGAATACTATGCCAGTTACTTCAGTCAAATCAATCTTGTGGATGAAAGTGAAGTCTGATGAAATACTGAGTGTCACAATAAGGGAAAATGAGGCCTCTGTTTTTCTTGAGGCAATGGAGAGTTTCGGTTCTTCGGTATACTGATTGTGCAAGTCTCTGAAGAGCTACTGAGGGGACAGAATCTTTTTAAAAAGAAAAATTTTAAAAAGGCACTAAGTGTCTCAATACTTAGTTTGGAATAAAAAACCGTTCAAAGCCTTTCACAGCCCTCTTTATCCTGAATTCTGGAGTCACTGGGGTTATTTTTGCCATGAATCTGTTCCACAGCTGTGCGTCATATCACTCTGATTTGACAATATTCTATTTGTCCACCTACTGTGGATTCTGTGATTCCTCCTGCAGACACAGAGAGCCCCAGTAGGGTGTGGTACTGATACTCAGGCAATCCAAGCAGCTGTGCGATGTACTTGAAAGCTTGAGATGGGGCGTTCCAGTTTAGACTGGTTGTGGTCTCACTGAAAGACACAGCAAGTTCAGTCAAAGATTAAAAAAATAAGTACAGCCTACAAGAGTTTGTCACATCCACACAATTGGCAAAAACTGTGCGTTATAATTTTTTAAATGGCCCGACTTAACACACAGGGATAACTCACAAAGGTAAGATGCTCAGCAGCTCCTCTCGTTGGGGAATGTGAGGTACTGCAGGCTCCGTGCTGTGCAGGAGACGCAGGAAAATGTTGCCGGCGTGTGCTCGGTAGCGGTCAATCTTCTCCGCTGCCTGCTGAGCCAGGCAGCACATCATGGGCTTTACCCTGGAAACAGATGACGCAGCCCGTGAAAGAAAGTAACAGTTTCTCCAATAGAGTTCCATGGTTTCATATTACAGGGCTAAGAATGGGCAAACCTTTTTAGATTCCTACTTACAGGTCTGATGAAAGGATCTCAGGAGCGCTGCTGGCTACTAGCAAGGTCACTTCCATCAGACTGGTCATGGCTGCCTCTCTTACCCTGGAAAAGTGACAAAGAGAAGGAAGAGTTCATTTTAGCAGTGAGATGGGAGGGAATCAACCTCATGATCACTCTTGTTTGAGCTGAATACCAATTGAAAGTGCTCAGTGTCACTTGGATACTAGTGTGGAAAGAAAATCTGGTGATGTGAAAAAGTTATTGGGGGATTCACAGAAAATATACACTTTGAGTTAGATGCTCAGACAACTACCTGATTTCTGTCCAACTTGCCACCATTTTAGGGAGACACGAATGTATACTTTGATAAAGAAAAGTACTGGGCTTCTGTAAATGCAGGCCTGAGATAAGCGGGCTAGAATAACTACTGCAGAAAGGTGAACGAGTGTAAGGAAGGAGGAAAAAGAGAAAGAAGTGCGAAAGAGGCAGCCCATTCTCTGATGCAAAGACAAGTGACAGGCCTGGTGACATTCCAGGTGAGTCCGTAAGCATGGCCTCAAGCTGCTTCTGACAGAAGCCTGCGTGCTCTACGTCTGCGTGGAAGGTCAGGAAAACACCAGAGGCCTCAACTAGGCACGCATTCCTCAGGCCTGAGGCGCACCAAAAAGGCATGTGTGCCTTAGAAACGTATTTAGATGAACCGGAGAGCAGCACTCACCAGGCCCCCACGTCTCCTCTGCTGTCTGTTGTATAGTCATTAAGACCGTTGAGCAGGACGCCGTACACCTCTGCTACGTTCTCCGAGCACAGGACAGAGTCGGGGGAGCCGTGGGCACAGACACCTGCCTTTGTGCAAACTCTGATGGCAGACAAGTTCGCCACGTAAAACAAAACGCAAAACAAAGACTCGCAAGCTGGTAAAAGTATACTTTTGAGGAAAATGTCATCAGATAAATGGAAGGACATGGCAGTCAGGTCCTACCGGTCGAGTCGGTTGTCTGTTTACTTTAGCATTACTACATTTACACAAAGATCTGAGCAGGGATCGCTGGAGACACAGAAGGACCCGTTTCATCTACCTGGACCTGCACTATCACACACATATCAGTGGAAAGACAGAGATGAATCTGGAAACTCACTGAGCCAGTGATCTGACTGCATCTCTCCTTGCCTCGGTGAAATTTCCTTCCTTCTGGCTAACGATGCACATCTGCTGAAGGCCCTCAAAGATCTAGCATAGACAAAAAAACAACAGAAACAGCCCTTTAATCCTGTATAATATTGCACTGAAGTTTCGCACAAACAGGTCCAAACACACTTCAATCGCACCTGCTTCCATTTGTTCTGTATCATAGCTTTTGGCAGAGAGCTGAGGGCGAGGGCAGATCCACTCCGAGTGAGCATCTGTGGACTCTTGAGTCCTTCAATGTACCGAGATACTAGAATATCTGAACACAAACAGACCAACAGCAGTTAAAAAAGGTTGACATGAATTTGGAATTTGATGCATACTGAATAACCGGTACCTTGCATTTGTGGGTCCACCTGGCCCGTCTTGTCCTGGTAGTACTCCTCACACAAAGCAGATAAAGCAGATACAACTGCAACCTGCGGAAACGGGAGGAGAAGGAGAAATGGATGATCCACACGATCCAAAATGTGAGACTGAGAATTCAAAGCTTTGAAATGTAAGTTAATAAGAAATAAAAGAGATTAAGCTTACAGTTATGTCATCCTTCCCACCAGTGGTAAAAAGATGAAGAGTCTGGATGGTGTCATCAATAACCCACTGCCAGCCAGCTGAAACAAATAAGATATTTTCAGCTTCAAAGTAGACTAAAAATGAAATATCTGTTGAAAGAGTTAGCTTACTGATGACAGGGTCGTTCTTAAAAGGCATTCTGGACTTGGATAAATTTTCTACCAGACTGCAAACTGTGGGGAAAAAAAGACAGACATACTATTGTATAAATTGTGTAAATATACTTTACTGTGTAAAGCTGACCAAATCAAATATTAGACTTTAGACTTACTTGCAGGTCTCATTAGTAATCCACCAAAACCCCTATGCAAAAAGAGCATTTTGTTCAAATAAATTAGAATCTGTTTTTTTGGTTTTTCATTAGGAAGAGAGAACAAAGTAAAAACAAATAGTTTTGCTTACTTGTATTGTTTTCTTTCTTGAAGCTGTAAGTGTGCCGACAAATGTAAGTCAGCTGAATTTCTGATCACACTTTATTCACATTTGCTGAATTAATGAATAACTTCACATTTACCATATGGTGAATGTTCTTCAATGCATCCACACACTCTGGAGAAATGATGTCCACCACAGCCCTGTCAGACAAGCCATGCTCATTCAAATCAAAATCCAATTCAACACACTAGAAAACCAACAAAGAAGTGCACTCATTGCTAAATTCGTTCCTATAAAATGGTAAAACTGGTGAATCAATGGGATTAATATTATTTTGAAACATCTAACCTTTAATGCCCTTAGAATTTCTAAGTTTAAAAAACATGCTCATATTTCATATTTCCTGTTATAATTCGAGTGTACCTGTTGGTCTGAAGGCCCACTTTGTACAGAGAATGTGTGATCTCTCCACATGCCAGGATGGCTCCATGACGACCATGAAGGTCAATACCAATGGCCATGGTCAACAAGTGGGGCAAAACTAAAATTAGCAAAGAAGAAAGAATAGCCATGATAAACACGTCTCGCACAGATTTAAAAAAGGTGATTTCCTTGTATGCTATTCGAAAGCTGAACACTGTGTTTGAAACAGGAAAAGTGACATTGTTTACTTGTTGTCGCCATGTAATCAGGTGCTTGAGGCGTCAAGTTGTGGAGAGCTTTAGTGGCGAGCTCACGTATCGCACTGCAGATTTGACAAAAAAGATAAAAACAAAACCTTAAATCATAGACAGATTTCTATCAGTGAGCTATGAGCCAGCACAAATACTCACACATCCCAGTGGTTGATCTTCATGGCTACTAAATGGTCTATCATGGCCTTCGTGTACTCAGGGAAGCTTGCAATATAAACACTTTAGAAAAAAACAGACAAACTTCAACATATGGGAATAATGTTACCGACGGTAATAGAACACCACTCCAGTTATCTTATCTTTTCTGTTAGCTTAGCCTCAGCATCCAGTCCTAGCCTGAGGCTAGACTCTTTCTCCACTGCCACCTCATGTACCCTGTATCTAAGATGGTGACAAACTCCTTCTAAAAGGTCACAATTCTTAGGCTTTTTAAGGTTGGTTCTGACCGCCTACTTATGTGTGGAAAGAGAAAGACTTGGCACGTCGTAAGCTAAACCACATCAAAACATTAGCTAGGTACACTGCATACAGTAAAAGCAATTATCAATAAAAATAGAACAGCTAAAGCAATAATATCTAAAAAAGCGTCAACAGGCCTAACTGAGGTGTAGTGCTTAATACTTAATAACATATGTAAAATAATTTTTATGAATCATCAGAAATAGAAATTGTGTCATTAACATTTGATTTAAAGATAATTTGTGCATGTTCAACAAAAAAATCTGTGCTATGTCTAGGAAAAAAGACACAGCCCTGTCAGCAACTGCCCTTTCAGTCAGTTCAGAATATTTCAGAATAAATATAAAAAGCATCCAGAGTAGCTAATGTAAATACCTGATGTTCAGATAGCAATTCTTGAGATTTCCTACAGCATAGTAGTCTGCTGCTGTTACGATGTCAATTCCATGAGGAAATGTCCCCTATTGAGAGAAGAGCAAGACATATTCATTCAGCTTTGAGAACAATTAGCTAATTTTGAAAAAGAAAAAATAAGTCATTTTGTTTCAGCTTAAAGCAATGACAGATTTGAACAGTTATAGCTTCAGGTCTAATGGCAAATCAAATGTTTACAAGTGCCCTGAGCCACACTTGGAGGACATTTTCTTCAAAAGCTTTTCCTAACAAGGCAGGTTTGAGCATGAACTGGATATCTTGCAACAAATAAGAATCAAATCAGGGTAATTCTGTTAGTCAAACCCCCAGTCACAAACCTGTCGGCCGACATTCTCTTGGAAGGCAGCCTGTGAGAAAATGAGACACAAAGTTAACTTAACTCATGTTATTGGACAGATTTGCTTAATTTACAATTTTGAGATATGGGGGGAACTTACAGACGCAGCTCTGCGGCAGTTTGTATCTCGATCAAACACGGCTGTGATCAGCAAAGCGCTGCAGACAAAAACAACCATAAACCATCAATACACAACTTATGTATCGAAATGTTCGATTTAACCTCCATAAAGTGGCAGTTCGATGAACCCTGAATCACAGCCAGACAGACGCTTGCACCGCACCACATTTTTGACCAAAACATCTCTTCACAGTGCACTGCCTCTGCATGTCTCAGGAGGAGAGGGTGTGAGAACGTCCTGTTGTTTGAGAGTGGGCATACTACATATACATCAAAGCGACAGCCTAAGACAAAGCTGCTCACCCTGTTTGGCCAAACTAAGTGTGTTTCCCGTAAGGACATGGAAATTAAAATGGTACTGCCTACACTTTCTGACATTCTGCAAAAGATATTTTGATCCTACGGTCAATGATGCCAGTTTGTGTTGGTACATCTTAACTAATGCGCTATAGCAATAATGGGACAGAGAGATGACCCTAAATCAAGTGCCACAGTCTCAAACTGATCTTTCCGTAAGTGTCATCAAGCTGTGATGAGGAGAGCAGGAGCCAGCTTGTCCCAGCACTGCTGCCAAATGGTGACCGAAACCTACAGCGGCAGGCGAAACCTGGCATTCCTGCAGACGAGGGAAGGGGAGGGTGTTGTCCCAGCACTGGTGATCATTTTAAGGGGTGTTCACACCCGCCGCTGCGGAGCTAGTCTGCACAGTCAGAGGCCACAGGCCCATACTTGCACACCAAGAAAAGAAGAGATCAAGGATGAGACAAACCGTTACTGTTCACAAAAAGGTGCATGCAAGCCACTGAATGATGGTGCAGCTCTCTGCCCTGAATGCAGAATAGATGCGTGAGCTCTAAAACGTTACGTCCTACTGAGCCCCCTTTTTTACCTATAGACCAAAAGGCGCATCTCATCATGGCTTCAGTTTGTCAAATAAAAACATTAAAAAATTTTTTAAAAACTACAGAAAATTCCAATAAAAAGCCATCTGTTTAACATCTAGTTAAAGGTTACTCTTAATATCAGCCGCATGAAGAAAAATTTATCTTTATTACCCACCGTGTCTTATCTGAGAAAAAACTTGGCATCCAACTACAAGCCGATTGCATCACTTATTGGCACTCTCTTAACAACATGACTCCAACCTGAGTTATGGCCTGGCCTAACCCTTTCATCTTTCATGAGAATTGATGTAAAGTTACAATCAACGCATTTTATGCGGGAACATGCATGTTGCACAAAGACACTGATTTAAGGCTGTGAATGACAGCTAACCAGCACACCTGCAGCTTCTTGAATATTGTTAATAATATCACCTGTGATCACATCTGCCCCCTGTTAACCACGTCTTTTTTTTTTTCAAGCAGCAAGGGAATGCCAACTCTAAATAAGCAGCTTAGGTTTCTATAATTCCTTAATGTAGTTCAGAACAACAAGAAAAAAAAACTAGATCCCACTGAACCTCGTCCTGTTTCCATGTTGTGGGTTAGTTTGTTTACATAGTTGAGGTTGTTTCATGATGTGGGACAGATCTCCCAAAAAGAACACAAATGGTGAAACATATAATAAAACAAGAGTTCAGATATTAGTGGCTCCTGTCTAAATTGCTCCAAGCTTGTAAGTGCCGCCAATGTAAAGGAAAAGTTCAATCTATCCAAGCCACAACACAGACAACAGCCGTCTGGCGTGACAGTGATAGAAAGAAATAAGTAAGCGATATTATACCAGACTGAATTTACCCAAAGAAATGGCAAGGTGGAGATTTTACAATATGCACATATGATAGGGGAGAAAAAACAGTTTGAAGATAAGATTCTCTTAAATGCCTCTCAATCCCCTGATGCATTGTTATGTTTTATGCGTGGTAGGTTTTGTATTGTAAAAAATGCAGAGGTTACCTCGAGATCTGAGTGACATAAGGCTGGAGCTCCTTGGGTTCATAGGCCCTGGCAAAAGACCAGCACACGTAGCAGGCAGAGTCCCGCACGTTGGACCCAACGCTGCATGCTCCCCTCTTCTCCTCATAGGTCAAGGACTTGACAATGAGCGGCACAACTGCAAACAGAGACAAGACAGTAACACCAGAGCTTTAAAATCAAAGCATGAGAGCCATGTTGGAGGCATATCTTATGCAGAGTGAGTGTGATATATGTGTTAAGCAGACAGACAAACTGTCAGAACTTCCTGGAATCTATTATCCATGAAAAATAAGGACTACCGTGTGCTGAAGAACAATCCACATCCAGCAATTAGGGTGAAGAATTCATCAAGTAAAGTTACTTTATTTAACTGAATATGCTGATCCTCAAAACTAAGCTTTTCCAAATCATGCTGTGAAAATCCATACTAATCAAACCTTTCACAGCACACTGTTGAAACGCGCATCATGCGGTTTTGGAAGTTTTTTTAGTTTGGGAATTTTAAAGCTGAATAGTCATATGGTCATTTTTAGAAAAGGAAATCAAATAAATGGAGTCAGAAAGAGGTAAAATGAGTTAGTTCTCCCAACTAACCCCCCCCTCATTTAAATCATCGCTTGAGGCTTGACTAATATCAGGTGCATCATTGTTGCCCGAGGGCCCTGCTGTTTGGGGCTGAAGCCGCACCCACTAGTGAGACAACACCTTAGAGACAAAACTCACCACACCACCAATACCTCACACATTCACTAACACACTCGAGGAGCATTTCGAAGCGGGCACCCTTACCAGACGCTGACGTCCGCCGTGGGTCAGTTCTCTGTCTGACCAAAACTACAGAGTACACGCCATTGCTTTAAGGGGAGGAAGTAAGTTTATATCAATTCATTTATTTATCTTATCTTTTAATTTTCTTTCATTTTAGTAAAACAAGAAAGCAGTGTTGTGTTAAAGCTACTTTCAGACAGAACTCCATCAGGGTCTTACTGCACTATTGTAAAGTGATTTGAAATCAAACTGGTCATTTATTTGGTGTGAATTTAGAGAGTGGTAAATGCTGACAAGCGTGCACCTGTTACTTACGGATCCTAAACAGTCTTTGTTCAGACCACTCTGACTGATGCTGAGGCAAACACCTGGAGCTTTGCTAACAAGTCTGAAGTATTCATGTTAATAAAACAGGAATCTTCTAAACTGTTATGGTAGACAAACAGTGGTGTGTAAAACAAAAACTCACCTGAGCTAATAAAGTTAGATTTATCAGATTAATTTAAAACGTAAATTTATTTTGAGCAAAATAAAGGAAAGGAAACGGCAGCGAGATCGTTTTAAGTCGGGGCTCTACAAATGAATTTTAGTGGAAGGGAGACGAAGGGAGTGCCCGCGTGCTTTTTCGGTTGAAACTTGAGTGACAACTTCTTGCGACAGCGCACGACAAGCAGGTTCCTCAGCGCATGCCCCACAACACTCTACTCACCGCTCTAGGCAATGCCTCATGCTAAAAGGAAGACCTCAAGCTCTTCGGATCCCACTCACGTCTCCGCATCACTAAACCGGCTCCTTTTAATCTCACATTTTTCAGGAACCATCAGATTTAACGGTTTTTCTCGAAAACCTGTGCCAATGAGCTCATCAAGTGATGAATGTATCCCGCAGGTGTAGTCATGGGAAGCAGGTGGCTGCTGGTTCCCACGCCGACAGCACAGAGTTCAGAAAGACTGTGAGAGAAAGCAAGTCTCTGCATGCCCCCCAGGTCTGAGCAACTAAGAGCGTAGTCTGTCTGCTTAGCGGCACCCTGACAGATTATCAAAGCGATATTAAAAACGGACCGACAGGTGAACCGCCACGCCAGGCGGTGGAACGTTGGTTATCCTCATTTACCAGATTGAACCAAGCCAGCCGCACATCCGCATTTCTGAGTCGCGCAGAGAGGTTTCATATTCAGCTACTTCTCTGCCTGCCATCAAACTAAGGGTAAAGCAACAACAGAAGAAATACATTAGCCTGGGGGTGTAGTGTTTTGTGGAGCCAAAGATTTATCTAGCCATGCAGTGAAAAACACTCTGGGTTAAACCTTCCAATGACAATTCTACCGGAACCAGTCAAACAACTCTAAACAGCCCTTTAGGCTCATCATATGCAAAGCATTGTAAAGAAAATCAAGTGAAACCTTCCCAACTAAGTTCTTAACATCCCCGGCTCATCTGTACTGTGCAATTTTTTTTCTTTCAGAGCGCATTCTCCAGAGTCAGGATGGAAACTGTTCAGGAGCGAAAGCCAAAAAGGCCCCACTACATTCCCCGACCACCAGGAAAGCCCTTCAAGTACCAGTGTTTCCAGTGTCCTTTCACCTGCAATGAAAAATCCCACCTCTTCAACCACATGAAATATAACTTGTGTAAAAACTCTATCTCCCTGATGTCGCAGAAAAGTAGCCAAACAGCTCGACAGGGCAAATCTGTAGCAAAGGAAGCCCTAGTAAAATCTCAGGAGTGCACAAACATCCCCCCATCAGGTCAGGGCAGGAATCCTGAGAAAGAGGGAGTCGAAGAGGACAAACAAGCGAGCGCTGATGATGCAGAAGAAGAAGATGGTGGGCGTGACAGTCCGAACTGTAAGGACAGGCAAAGTGTGACAAAACCAGGCACGCTCACAGAGGCCGAGAGCAGCGAGAGCAGCGAGGCTCCAGATCTGCCGCGCCCGTCTGCTTTCTCCCCGGTCACACCCAACCGTGAAGGAGCGGAGGCCCTGAAGTCAGCCGGTCAGCAGGCGGAGGATTCACAGAATATCAGCCAACCCAGCTATCCATGGGGGAGAATTTCGTCCACCATTCCCTTGAAGCCATTCCCCCCCCTTATAGTTCCAGAATACAATCCCTTTCTCCTGCATGAACGGCCTCTCTATTCACCACTCTACCTTCCAGGACATCCCCATCTGAATGAACCGAATTCTTCTTCTTTCCAGCCCAATTTTCTGGATCCTCAGAGACCTGTGGCAACGCAACCCATTGCCCTGTCTCATGCACCCCCCTTTTCCCCTTACCCTTACAGATATTGCCAAACACTTCACTCAGGACCTCCTCTGCATTACAATCTATGCAGACCACATGAGCTGCCCATGCCAATTACAGGACATCAGTATCTTCCTTTGGATCTCTATTGTCCAAATTTGGGCCATAAGGAATATGACTTATACATGCATTCACATCCCAGTCAGAGCCACCCACACAGTACCACGCAAGAGGACAGCCACCCTGGCCAGAGTGGAGAAAAGGCCACGAGATTGAGCCCTAAAGAGGGCTGTTCAGCCTCAGGGTCCCCCGACAGACCAAGTCAATCGAATATCATCCAGAGGGATGCAGAGGCATCACAGTACACCAACATGGGTGCGTCTGCCACTGTCCTCCAGTTAAAAGAAAAAACTGCAGATCTGGAAACCATCAAAAACAATTTCAGGAAAGAGGAGTCAGCAGAAACTTTGATACAGTTAAGAGCTCAGCATCTGGATGGATTGTAAGTTAAACTGTATACTTTAAAATGTTTATTGTTTTGGAAATTGCTGTATTTTGTCGTTAACTTTCTGCTTTGACTCGTGGCTTTTAGATCAGCCGAGGACAGCAGATATTCCTCAGTTTCTGCCTTTGAGCCGTGCTCCAGAACGCCATCCGAGCCGGACCGGCAGGACGACACAGACAACCTGACACCCCTCAACCTCTCAACAAAAAGCCAGGACCAAGAGGAAAATTGTGAAGGCAGACAGATGGACTCAGCCACAATTAATTCAAGGAGCAATGAAGCACCACTGAATCTCAGCCTTCGCGCCTCTCACCGCAGCCCCGCGCACAGCCCTGCCCTGAACACTTCACTGGTTCTTCCTCAAAACACTGCTGGAGATCTGGATGAAGAACCGTGTGACCAGAGGCAGACTGCAGCCTTGGCCCTCTGCCAGCTTGCCACTGCAAGCTCGACAGCCCCTTCATGTGACTTTACTACAGTCTGCCAGCCCTCAAAAAGTTCCACCACAAGTTCTGCTTCTCAGAAGAATACCAAGCTATATACCAGGGCTAAGGATAGAGGCATGAAAAGACCCAACAGAGGCCAGGCTGAAAGCAAAAGCCAGAGACCAAACAAAAGAGCAAAGGCACCAGTACGGCCTCTGAGGAGGAGGCCTCGTTTCTGCTAGCAACTTAACCCATACTGTTGCAATGTATCGTCAAATCAAAAGACTTTAGACTATCTTGATTTAGCACTGAAAGATCTTTTTTTTCACACGTCAACAGCTTTGCTATGAAAGTATATATGAATAGATAAATAACTTGCAATGAGATCTTGTTTTATGCAAAGACCTACTGTTGAAATGGGACCTTTTTCAAAAGCTAACCTAACTGTGCTCTGGCTAAAGTTGCCAGAAGAAGGCATGATCATGTAAATATCTATAATCATTTCTGTAAATACTTATGATTTATAATAAAGAGATAACCAAAACTGATTGTCTGCATTAGGCCTTCCACTATGCATATTGATTCAGATCTTAGTTCACTGCACCCACCATCAGTTAATCTTGAAGGCAGCAGCAGTCCTCTCCTCCCCAGCTCTGCTAGCGCCAGGCAGCCCCCATGCCAAGCATTGTCTGTCTCCTGAAAACTTTACAGATGCATCACATGTCAATCTCAATGAAAACCATATGGAGTTGTTTAAAAAAAGAATCATTAGAAATCACTAAATGAATGGCACAATGATGATGAAGGAGGTGAGTGTGGCCCCAGCATGTACCTACCTGAAGCAGTCCAGGACTGATCCAACCACCTCATCTGCCAGCTCCTTTGGAAGTCTCCCTGTTACCCTCCCAATGCTGGAGGGTTGTTGACAAAGTAGATTCATGTAACACAAATGTTCTTGATGAGAACTTGCTTTTTATATTTAGATTGAAAAACTTTGGAACAAGGATGTCTCCTCATCAAAGAATCAGCTTTGAAAGCATATTCACCCTTTTGCTGCAGACCAGCGCACAATGGTTTCCTTATCTTTCAGTCCAACCAGCAAATGCTCTGCAAAATAAAAGTGAAATTGACTTTGTCTTGCAGAAGCGCCGTGATTATACATGTTTAAAACTCAGCGGAGGCAGTAACGCACCAATGACAGTCTCCACTTCCTCAGGAATGTCAAAGTCCTCTTCTAGTTCTTGTGTCTCAGGTGTCACAGCAGAACCAGTTGTGGAAGGCTGGGACACGGAGAGGTTGGCTGCAAGAGAGCGACTGCCTCTCTGGTACCTGACAAAGTGTCCATTAACTTTAAAAACACTTAGTATCGTGCTACAGTTTCATCCAGTAAAATCAAGTACAGCGTATGATCAGATAAAGTGATTTGTAACGAATTATGTCAACCCTCCAGAGCAGAAATCTGACCGACATTAGGGGTCCCAGAGGTTTTTGGACCTGACACAGTTAACTGACTTCTACAATTCTATGAAATGTATTATGTCTGACCTCCAAGCAGCCAAGCGTGGCTTCAGAAAGGTGAGGCCCAGTCTCTGGATTAATTTAACACCGAGCTTTCGTACCATGGCTTCGCTGCTGTCTGACAGCTGTTTCTGTTCCAGACACTGCAGAACTGTTGGAGCTGGAAAACACATGCAGTGATACATTTTATCATCACTTTCTACACACCATAGGCCATATTCAGCCCAGACACAAACAAGGCTTTTTTTTTTTTTTTTAATCGTTGTTGGTTCTGATTTAAAAGTTGAGTTAACACAATCTCTGGATCACCTTGTCTTTGGGAAACTACACTTTGACAAATTTCTGAGTGGATGTAATTTAGTTCAATCTGAAAATGACAACAACTACTGACATTTTTATTTTCACTGGGGAAACCACTCTTAATTCATTACAGAGAACAGCGGACTTACCGTACTGCAAGAGGTCATCTCGTTTTCCATGTTTGAAAAGCTTTGCCTATAAGACGTTAAAAAAAGGGGGAAAAAAAGGTTAAGGGCAGCAGCAGCACTACTATCACACGTTTACCTGCTAATTATTGTCATTACAAATTAAAATGCCACTCTCTCCAGGTACCCCAGCTCCCCCCCACCAACCAAAAACATGCATGTTAAGCAAGATACAAAATGGATGGATGGAAGAAAATAACACTCCCTACGACAACCTTCATTGCTGCATATTTCCTGTCAATTTATGTTCATCCTTCCATCTCTGTTCCATGAACCCCTCTCGTCCCCAATTTGCATAAAGAACATGAAATTATAGCTCCTGATGGCTGAACATACATAGCAAGTTTCGAGGGCCTAGAGCAACAACAAGGCTCCATGGTCTATTACATCGACCTCAAAAACCAAGCTTTGTTTTTTTTAACATGTCACGCGAGTTTTGCTTCAGGGTTGAATAAAATGATCTTAGATCGAAAATCAAACTTCAAATCATCCCCAATCAATAACATATCCGCGGTGATGTTACTTGTGGGAAGAGAGAAAATCAATAAAAAAGTTGATTTAATTTAAAGTAAGTGCTGATCTCATCAAGTGAGAAACCGTTTAGCTTGAAGCAGTGGATTAAACTGAATTCAGTGACTTGAAGAAACAGATCCCACACAGGCAGCAGGTGCATAACACACCTGTTCTAACCACAACGGGAATTGTGAGACGCATACCAGTCATGTCAGCTCTTGTAAATGATCTGCTCCAGGTTTAACAACATGTATCAAACAGACACACCACCTTCAACCACGCGTGTGGACAGATGTGTGGATGTTTACCAGAGACTGCAGAGTACCATTTAGCACCATTATGTCACTCATCGTTTGGCCGTTGGCCTGAGATATGGAGGTGAGGATCCAGTCCAGGAAGTCTCCTAAGCGTTTCTGTTTAACATCGGGCCGGGTCATAAACCTGGAAGATAGCAGAGAATATGCGCTAAGAGGCTTTCAGAAGAAAACAGCCATTGAATACACTGGAAGCTCAATGTTACCCTCTGTTGGCAAACAAAACTAATTACAAGTGGACTACCTTTTTCTTGCTTCTGTGGACAAGGTGTTTATTTCATGAAGATTACAGAAAGGGTTCTAAGTTAATTGTCCCACTGGCTCTTAATGTATTAAAATGTATTTACAATGAAGGACAAACCAGTGCTTGATTATTTTTCTTTTCTTTTCTTCTGACAACCACAAATAAGGATGCCATCATCCAGCCTACATCCTGTGTCATCCTGTCCTGGATTTTACTATAATTAGTTTGCTTTCTTTTTACTATTTTTATTTAAATCAGTATAAATGTAATGTTAGTTGTTAAAGTTTTACCGAAGATTATTTCATGAATTAATGTTACAACTGATTACCTGTGTGGCGTTCACATACTTACTTTGAGACCAGCACTGATGCAGCATCCCGGGGACTGTCACTTACAACGAGATAAGACTAGAAAATAGATACATATATTTTAACAAATTCAACCAGAATGACTTTATGAATTCTTTTAATTATGCACCTTATGAATAAATGATCTAATCATTTTGAAGCCCACCCCCTCCCTCTATCTCCATCTTCCACAAAAAAATGAACTCCTCAGTTTGTAGAGCTATGGACTAACTATCTCCACAGATTTAGAGGAGTGATTCCAATCAAGTTTCACTGACAAACACTTCCCTTTTTAATAAATGAGCATAACAAACTAAACAATAAACAAACTCTACCTTTGCAATACCAAGAATGCGGTCCATGATGGACTCTCTAGCTTCACCGCCCTCTGATTCCAGATGGCCATCAAAACGGGAGAGATCAAAAGGTATGAGGCAGGTCATTGACATCCACAGTAATAACATGTAGCGAGTTTCCCAAGTCTGAAATAAATGCAAAGACAGCAGTGTCAGATGCTTTGATATAAAACACCACGATCCAATTGCAAAGACAACAAATAAACATGTACAAAAACATTCACTTAAACAAAAAAGCAGGATTAAATTTATATATACATTACATTTATATATAATTATTCAATAACAACTACAATCAACTCTTTCATTGTTAACTACTTTCTTTTGAAATTATGTAATGTCCCCAGCTTGTTATCTCCAGAGATTACAATTTGGCTGAGTGACCATTGGGTCAAAGAACAAACGCACATCACCACGGTTGGCATTTAATAACACATCTATAGAAGAAATACTGTCATTCAGATGATTAAAAAGCAATTGTTCAATAAAGTTATTTTTATGGCTGTAAGTTTAACTGAAAAGAGAAGCCTTTGCACAGACTCACATCGGAGTCTTTTGGATCCTGTCTGGACAGCAGATCCAGAACTGGCTGAACATCAGAAACCTCGTGAGGAAAAAGCTGCATGAAGATTTTATACCCTCTGACCTAGTCAGAAACAGAGATGAATATACCATTTATATTAGGCCTGTGTGGAGGGGGGAGTCAAATGAGTAATCAAAACTTGAAAACTGCTGCAGACAAAGCAGAAAATGTTTATAAAACCTTTACATTTTCTTTTCCTTACTGACCTTACAGATGATGTAAAGAAACTTGAAGCTCAAGTGGACCAGTGATGGTGGAGATTTTTCACTCCTCACCAAGTCCAATATCATATTCAACATCCATTCTAATAAGAAATTATCAAAATAAGTATTGAATATGTGTATTACATAGCCAAGTGAGTGTGGAACAAACATTTTTAAGGTTATACTTGCAGCCTACCCAGATGTGGATCCAGCAAATGAGGTTGCTCTTGATATCGGTTCATGATCACTGTGAGAAGAAAAGGACGTTGAATGTGCTGAATTGCAAACACAATAAGGCAACAAACCCGAGGTGATTTAAAACAACCCCACCTAAGAACCTCTGGGTCGTAGACTCGTTTTCCGCCGGGTCCCCGTGGACCTCAGGGAGGCTAGAGATGAGGGAATTGGTATCATTTTTCTCCTTAAAGCCGTCCAAGACACATGTTTTGACAATTGCGTCCAAATCTCCGGTTGATTCATTTTCTGTTGTTGGTAAGGCCATCTTATTAGAATTTTAGAAGTCAGCTAACTGTGTCCGGTCACTATCCTCAGAAGTCTTTGTAGTGAATGGCAGGCTTTTATTCCTGCTACTGCGTCACTTAGCCAGCTAATGCTAGCATTATTCGATATGGATATCCAATAAATGAGTCCAAATTACTCTGAAACTTGAAAAATTGTTAAGTAACCTCATCAAAACTTAATTCAGTCCAGAGACTACTAACGAGAAACACGAGCGAGCTTAAACTCAAATTAATTCCTTTGAAAACAAGAAGTTTTCATATGAACTGGAAGATGCTCGCTCAGAGCTACGACACCACGCCCCAGTACGGTAAGCCAAATGGCTCAAAATCGCTTTGAGTTTAAAGAAAGAAATGTAAAAGTCCAGTACAACTCCTTGGATTGTGGTACTCATCTGCACTATGGTACGCAGTTATTTGTTTTCTAAAGGCTTTTGAATGCTTAATAAAGGTTACTATACATTTATTGATATGCTTTCCAGCAACAGTATAATCAGCTATAGTTAATACAGATATCTGCGTTAATGAGCTCAACCATACACAAGGATTTTATAATATTTATTGCCATAAAGCAAAATTCTGCAAACAAAGTTGTAGTGCCAACCTTCATGACATCAATTAAGCTATTATAATTCAGATAAAGTACAAACAAATGCATTTATCCATTTAGTATAATTAACTCTCATTTCACACAATCAATAATGGGGGGGGGACCCATTCAATCACATTCAACGCATGTTTAAGTGTGTTTGGTCATAACAGTGACTTAACTACAGTTAACGCATTGTAACTGTATAAAACACCCTATCCAAAGCAAATCCCAGCTTTTTCAAAATAAATTCATTTATTTCATATACAACAAATGCCATTTCATTAACATGCCTTTTCCAACCATTGTCAAAATGTATGTTAACTCTATTTAACAATAAGTCAGTTTAGGTCAGATAAGCATAAGATGCATAAGACTTTGCTTGTTTTTAAGACTATCAAGCTTTGTGTTATTTGCAATGAGAGCATTTATTTGAGTAGGTTCCTCATAATTCTAACTGAAGAACCTCTGTAGCCACCACCAAAGTGGTTCCAGTGATTCAGGTAGTGGAAGAGTTGGTAAAGCTGGTTTCTCTTTGAAAACCCTGATGCTTGAGGAATCTTTTCGTGGTAAGCTGAGTAGAATGAACTGCTGAAGCCACCAAACATCCCAGCAATGCCCAGCTCAAACTCTGAATGGCCATAGAAGGAGGCAGGGTCAAAGATGACCGGGCCATCTGCACACTCTGCCACATTGCCTCCCCATAAGTCACCATGGAGGAGAGAAGGGACAACCTCCACTTCTGTGAAAAACTCGGGGATCTTGAGCTGTAAACATAAACAGATATTCTGTATATTTCGGATTTCTGACCAAAATACAAGGATGTTAAATATTTCTAATGGGCCTAAGGAGAAGGTGCACCTGTAGACTAGCCCACAGTTCCCTAGCCTCCCTGTCTCCATACGATTTTTCCACCATGTTAAGCTGATGCTGCAGCTTCTGCTGAGAGTAAAACGACACCCAGTCACTCTGCCATTCGTTTACCTGAGGATGTAAGGAAAAAGAAACATTCTAACATCAAAATGTGTGTGGCACATACAAATGGTATGTACTAATTTAGTATAGTCCATTACTTTATTTTACCTGGGCTAGATAGCCACAACAGGTAGTTACATCAAAGCCAAACTTTTCAACAACTGCCACATCTGACTGACCAGCTCCTTTTCCTAAACAAAATTATATACATTTAAACAGTCGGTTAATCACATTTAAAATGTTAAGGAACTTCTCTGTAGCAAGGGAAAGATTTTTTTCTATCCATACGGCCACATTTATACATTTCCGAGACAAATATTGAGTCAATTACCTACTGTCTGCTGCTCTTTGTGCTGTTTGTCAATCTGTCTCTTATTGTGAAGATGTAGATCTGCCAGCTGCTCTCCAAGCTGCTTTGAGTACCTGCCAAAACAATTAGAAAATTGTCAATCTGATCATAAAAGGAAAAATGCAAGAATTCTATTCAGATGTGAACTGAATCAGAGAAACCATTAGAAGTGTACAAGACAGTCCTTACTTGTTAAGACCTTTCATGTCAAGATGCTCCATCACAAATACACATCCTTTTCCATCAAGTTCAATCACCTTTATAGGTTTTGGGACTTTAATTGTCTCTGTCTTAAAAATGGCTGCTAAACTTGCCATCTCACCATCAAACATCAATTTTGCCTGAAAAAATACACAAACAACATCTAGATAGATGATCAGTGGAGGGACACATATACATGCATGTCTATTTTTCAGTCATGATCTGTTTGAATGAAGAGTTGCACTGTTATCATAGAAAAATATATGCACACCAATGACAATAGCATTCAGAAGGTGTAGTAAGTGGAACTAATCCTATTCACTGATGTCTGAAAGTGGAAAGTCCTGGATACAGCAACTGGACACAATGACAACTTGATAAACAAAATCTATAGATTGTTTACATGAATACATACGTCACTCTTGTGATTAATCTTTACAAAGACTCTTCCAAAATCAGTATCATAACTCTGGCCCTCGCTGATGCATCCTCCTCCTGAGTGACCGGTTGATTTCAGTATGGCTGTCCCCAACTCTTTTTTTAACTTGGCCTCCATGATTTCCTCTCCAGCTTCACATAAATAAACCCATGGGACTATTAGAAAAAGTGCACAGTTAATACTGATTTCGAAGTTCAAGGGGGCGTCTCTAGCTGTTACCGTCGTAAGCCAACGAGGGTTTTAGCTAAAGGTTTACTGTCGTTTCTGCATTTGTTTCCGTGTCACTTGTGCGGATAAATTGCGACCAATCAAAAAAGAATAATTACGATGAGCGATAGCTATTTTGCCCTATCGCTAAGGTGTAACGCCGTCACGTGACTGTCGCTATGGTGCCGAGAAAACGGCTGTGTTGTTAACCCTTGGACCGCGTCGCGATGTCTGTGCTGTCAGAAGCAAAATGAGCAACAAAGAAGTGTGTTTACTTCTTGGAGCCACTGGCGTCGGAAAGACATTGTTACTTAAACGTCTACAAAATATCCTTATTTGCATCTGAATGTTATTTAAACTATAGCTGGAAAGATACCAGTGTTCCGGTATGCTGGGCTAAAGCAACAAGCTAACTTTCCTTTTATTTAGTCTCACTACTGCCACAGAGCTCTATCCAAAGGATTCTATTGTTATTCATTTCCACTAATGATAATCTTTGGCATTATACCAGCTCGCCGTGGTGTTGTATTATTTACACTTTAAAAGCCTTAAATACTATCAATCTGTCATATGTTGTTCTTTTCCTTACCCATTTTAACTGATTGGTTTGCATGGTTTAGGTGAAATGAGCGCCATTCCTTCTACTCTTCCTACAGTAAGTAGCAAAGAACACATTTTGATAAGTTTGCAGGCTTTATTTTGATGGAACACCTCTTCCTTTTATTCCGCTAATCTTTTAAAACCTCTGCAGGTGGGAACCAATCTGACAGACTTGACCCTGAAAAAGAAGAAAGTGACAGTGAGGGAGCTGGGAGGATGTATGGGTCCTATATGGCCCAGTTATTTCAAAGACTGCTTCTCTGTCATTGTATGTTCTTTTAATACATTGCATTTCTTTACAATATTTGAAGAAAGGTAGAGCTATTTACTATTGGTGTTTTTGACAGATTGTTATTTGTTTGTTTTTAAAGTTCATGGTGGATTCAGCCAACATTGCTCAAATTTCCTCTTCCTGTATCCAGTTACTGACTGTGCTTTCTGCTGAGCCTCTGAGCAATGCCTCTGTGCTTATTCTCTTCAACAAAAGGTGAGACTCCCATAAAAATACATCCTGAACAGTTATTTTTAGTGTTTATTGATATCGTTTTTGAAATTGTATGTCTACTATCTGATATTCCCTTCAAATGTCTTTCCAGGGACATGCCTTGCATTATGAGCCTTGTTGAAATAAAGTCCCTGTTCAGAATGGATGACATCATTGCATCTGCCACTCAGCCCATCACAATATTAGAAGCTAGTGCTCGCTCTGGAGAGGGACTGCAGGACGTGTTGAGCTGGCTGGAATCCATCGTAGTCAAGTGATATGTATTTAGTTCTTTTATTACATTGGTTCCACACAAAAATATGCAAAATCTTATCAAGGCATTCAGGCAGTGACAGTTTAAAAGAGCAGTTTGCTCTTAGTTTTTAGAGAATATGAAGCTGCCTTTAGTGTTGGAATGTCTTAACCAGATAAAGCATTTAAGAGTCATCTTCTTTTGTATCATATTAATAAGGTCAAAGCTCAGAAAGTTTAATGAAGATGTGACTGTGCAATATACCATACCAGGATCTACTAATTATATGTATGAGCTTTGTAATATTTCTTAAACTCTTATAAAAAAGAAAATCATTGCAAAGGTGTGTAATCAACCAGCAAATATTGTGAAATCTGATTTAAGCTTCTACTATTGTAAACGCTCAAAAAGTGAGAAGGTGCTTTCAGGGCATAGTGCTGAACAAAATTCAATTAGAAAAACAAAGGAAATCGGAACAGCTTCAGGTGAACTTAGAGCAATCTGGAGTGGCAACTCAAATAATAGTTTGTAAAGGTCAACAGGGCTGATTCTATTGAATTAGGCCACAATCTCTGCTAAAAATGTTCTACTAATGGAGGAAACTGAATAAGAACTCTATGATAATGCAGTTTTTTTTTTTTATTCACACTAAAAGACTAAATGTATCAAATTAATGATTTAGAGTGAAAATATGGGGAAACTTAGTTTTATTAATGATATTCTTTCAATCAGATAAACCACCTGACATAAACTTCAGACATAATTGTCATAACCTCCAGTAAGCCTCTAAAAAGAGTTGAAATATAACTGTAATATAACTATCAGTTTTGTGTAATATGTCACTTTTCTGCAGGTTTTTTTTTTGTTGTGTTACAGTGACAGGTTTTAACACACAATTGCCCCACAAATAAGATTATTTTTCGTTTATTTATGAAGATAATCAGAATTTATCATTGGCCTTCCAAGTTTGCCCCAAATTCTCATTAGCAGTGCAGTGACTCTTTGAAACCAGCAGGGGGAGTAAAACGGCATGCACATCATAGCCTGGGGTGTGTACATGAGATGAGTTCATTCAAACATTGATGGCAAGAGCAAAAAAGAATGTTAAACAAACTCTTTTGAAGAATAAATGCATTTTATATTTATGCTGCTGTATTGGATAGAGTTGTTGGTTCACAAGCAATGCATTAAACTCATTCATACATTTTTAAATGTTGATTTGATTATTAGGGATTCTGGACTACTTATAGTCCTCCGACAGGAGGATTCACTCTGCAATTGATTTTACAGCAGTAAAATAATACATATGTTGATCAATTGAATTGTTCTGGCCCATGAAAGCTCAGTAAAGTTAAACTTGTCGATGGAGGAGAATTTTAAACACTGAACAAGTCTCTTAGGAACTTGCTTTTTCAAAATCTACGACATTTGCTCAGCACTAATGACTTACAACAAAGTATTATCAAACTGTGCTTTTGTGTAGTCTCTTTATAGTCTGTTCTGTAGCTGAGATTGCACAGATTGCAGCCTTCAAAGACATTTTACATGATACTCAAAGTTTCTAATAAAATCTCTTTTTTAAGCTTGTTGTTGTAAGGAGCAGAGCCAGCTTCCAACATTCTAAGGCTTACTGTACGATACAACTATATAAAAACAACAGAGAACAGGTCTTTTATAAAAGTCCTTCGGATGCGGTTTGGTCTGTGTAACGAGCGATGTCCCAAGAGCATAACGTGAATGCCTTCTCCCTTTCTCCAAGATATTTTTCTGCACCTTTGTTGCTCTTCATAAGAAAGGGTTCTGGTTGCTCTGTGCAGCTTGTGATCCATCAGCACTGGAAGAGGAGAAGGGCAGCAGGGGCTCCGGGAGGTTCCTCTGCAGGTCCAGGCCGGGCTGAGTGGGGTGAGTGAGAGATGAAGGGAGGCTGGCACCCTGATGGCTCATAGGCAGGGGCAAGGAGGCACTGTACGGAAGAGAGGTGGCTTGGGGGGTCGCAGATGTAGAGCCCATTTGATTCAGACTCAGTTTTGGTTGCTCAGTTTGGAAAGGATTGCTGGGTGAGGGAGCGCTCAGTCCTAAACCATCAGAAACAAAAAAAAAGAAATGATAATGTCCACAAACAGCATTTTTCAGGCTGATTCAACAACATATTTGCAACTATCTGCAATACAGAAAGGCGAATACAAGAAATACCTGATAAAAAGGGGTTCTTGTTCTTGGGTTGTGGATTAGTCGGGATCAAGGCGTCCAAGTTTACCAAGGACGCTGCCGTCGGGCCCAGAAAGGCCTCGGGTGTCCGGCATGTTCGAGGGCTTGGTGCGGCTAGGCTTTCTCCAAGACGGGACATGTCAAAGAGCTCAGGACTGCCCTCCCCTCGTCCATTAATGCTCACCTGACCGCCATCCATGGCTTCATCAAATAGATCCCCATCTAGTCAGACAACCAAAGAGGCAACGCTTTAACAGCGTACAGTACATGAAGCCAAGTAAACGTCCGCTGTAATAATCTTACCTGACGGACTTCCACTTCGAAGAGGGGGTTCCCTACTTGCTGTACTTTCTGATAAGGGATCAACTCCTGCAGAAGGCATTAACCAAAATGCAAGTTATTAGCTGCTTAAAAAAACAAAACAAATTCAAACACAACCCTGTTAGCTATGTGGGTGCATGAAAGAGACCTCACCTGTAGCAGGGATAGACCACACCCGACCTGCAGGGTTGGTGCTGGAGACATTGTTCTGCTGTGCGCCCCAGGGGTTGGCCGGGGGCTCCCACGGGGGTGGGGGACTATTGGAAGTTGGCGGTGCCATCCAGGCAGGATCTGCTCCTGGGATGTGGACACTGTCTTCTTTTGATAAAAGGTAGTAAATCAAAGAAAGAGCATTCCTTTAGCAAACTTTTTTTTAAAATGACACAGTAAAAATTTTAACTGAAGGCTCTAACAGTGTTCTGAGTGCTCAAACAGCCTGCTCTGGTCGCGGAAAGTTAACTCGAGCCTCACCGAGGGAGTCCCAGGGGTCTGAGCCTCCAGCAGCAGCAGCGGCGGCGGCCTGGCGTGGGGCGTTGTTCCAGCGGTGGTTACTGGGTGGCGCGTCTGAAGGCACTGCAAAAACATCTACCAGGTCCATAAAGGCTGTCTGACCGTTGGAAGAAAAAACAATGTTTGATCAGGTGGATGTCTCTGTATATCACCCCAGGTCGATATTTCACTCCCATCTGTTTCATACCCCGCCTTTTGACTCCATTTCACGTTTGCTCTCCTCCAAAGCTTTCTGGAGGAGAGACTCATCTCCTTGGCGACTGATTTGCTCCTAAAAAAAGACACAGACACATGGATGCCTTTGAGCATGGCAGCTTCCGGCTAAATTTGCTTATTGCCGTGTCATACTATATTTATGACTCAGCAACAAAACTAAAGACCCGCAGCTAGCTTGTATTATCCCCCAGGCAACATATGCATTCTGTTGGCCCATTCCAGAAAATTCTCTAGTCAAAGAGGGGAGAGAGCAGAGAATCGCTGTGATCTCCAACAGAGCATTTCTATTGTGCTTCTGTATGTTAGCGCGGACAAACAAAAAGGGGAGAGCATAAAGACAGGGAAGGGGTTACAAAGGTTGCATGGAAAATGCAACAAAGTGAGAGATGTTTTACTTTTTTAATAAACTAAAGAAAGCAAGTGTGGAGATAGTTTTAAGTCATTAAATACATTTTTTGAATGGCTAACTGCATAAATTACGTAAAACAACCAAGTCAAATTTGAAAAAGCCTGCTCAAGCAAGTCTAAAAGCATATATACCAGAGTTTATCTCAATTTTAACACCTAGTCACTATTCAAGTGTGGAGGAGTTTTGTAGAATCTACCTGCTGGTGCACCTCTTTGCTGAGGCTCAGGGCTAACTGGAGCTGGGTGTCTTCATCCATATCCGGAGCGGCAGCAGGTGCGCGCGGGGCCGGCTGCGAGTGTTGTCAGGGAGAGAATTCTAATCAGTATTTAGTCTGTCAAAAAAAAAATTCATCAAAGCTCGGAGATCCTCACAACACGGTCCATGCAGTTCTAACTAAAGTGAAGGGGTAAATCCTTTCAGCACCAGGTCAGAGTTGTTTAGGGTGTGCACCGTAAACAACGCGACATGGACAAGAAACCTAGCGGTTAGTGTGACAGAGGGATGTGGCCACGGTTGGTCAATCTCTGAACAGAGGAGTCCCTTTATGGTGCAAAAAGTGACGGAGGCATAGATCAGATGTATGGAGGAGAGAAAGGGAAGCAGTGCATGCAGGTGGGTCTTAGGAAGAACCAGCTGGGGCTGTGAGCGTCCTTTTAGTGTGCAGAGCAGCAGTGGATGAGCTGCACGGCAAAGAATGAAAAGAAAGGGTCATCCCTGGTCCAGGCATACTTGTACCTTCTGCGCCTCCTCCTTGCTGAGAGTCATAGCGATCTGGAGCTGAGTCTGTTCATCAATATCCACTGTGGGAGGTGGCTAGAGTCAAGCAGGAAGGATTAGGAGGTAGACCAGTCAAAGGGAGAGGTTCAAAGCATGCTAAATGATTGTTTAGGAATCAGTAAGATAACACAATGATTACAAGTTAATCAAGAGAGGTGATTAAAAATATATAAATCTCCCATCAGCATCACAGTAGCAGCTTTGTTGTAGTCTGATCCTTTAGAGGCTGAGCTGGGGTTTCAGCTGCTGCCCTTGCCATGAAGATTAGGACACACTGTGATGTTTAGGAGTGGATCGATGCACATTTCCTGTTTGGCTCCTCAGTATTTCACGCTCAGCTCCCTCACTCTTCAGCATCACTCCCGCCGATTGGTCAAAGTGTCATTAATTATGACATCAAATCACATCACGTTTTGGTAACAGCTCTGGGAAACGTGGCTTAGAAGACACGAGCAGAAGTGGTGCTTCACTGTTCAAGCAGATGAATGGGAGCCGTGTAATGTTTCACTACAGGAGGACAAGTCAGCAGCGGATCAGATAAAAAGCCCTTTTCTGCCAGGCGCATGTGCTGCAGGGGTCAGAGGTGTGTGTGTGTGTGTAGTGGGGGGGGGGTGTGTGTGCTGTCTCGGTTAGAGGTACCTTTTCACTTTCCTCTCGGCTCATAGCCAGGGCCAGCTGCAGCTGCAGCTCCTCTTCTCCGCTGGTTGACGGTCGAGCTTGTTCCAGATCTGGTGCCAGTGGAGGAGAGGCAGAGGAAGCTGCGGGGACATAGAAAAAAAAAAGCAGAGGGGCCGTGGGTTATTGAGAGAAAAAAGGGGCGCAATGGGACAGAGGAAGAAAGATTTACAGAGGGGGAAGAGAGAAAGGAACTCTTCAGGCTGATTTTTAAGGTCAGGAAAGAGCTGGCACTGATTTTGCATGTTAATTTTCCATCGCCCGTTGTTTGGAGCCTTTGCTGGCATGGCCTGCCACAGTCTGCCCAACTCTGTCTGCGCCCAGAACAATGGCGAGGCTGTGTGAAGAGTTAGGTTGCTGGCGGGGGAGAGGAATGGATGGATTGGAGTGAGGCCCACCCTATAGCCCCAAAGGTTTGTAGGACTCATTTCTGGGAGAGGGTGAGGTGGGAATTGGGGGGGGGGGGGGGGGGCAATATACCTGTCAGTGTGCCAGGGGGTGGGGCACAGGGGTAAAAGCAAAGTCGGGTCCCAGCAACCACTGTGCTGCCCCTAAATATCCTGTCTGAGCTGGATTACTCGCTGGCAATTAGCTGCTGCCAACCTCTTGACCCACACCCACAAACCTTTTTCTGTGTGGCCTGAAATGCTCACAGAGATACCTTTCTGCTGCATGAGCAATTTATTTACTACATTTACTCTCATCCACCAAAGTAGGTAAGCATTTAAGCACCTGCAGTACATCTCCAAAGAACTCGTGTGATATTATCATACGGAATTATGATAGTTTCCCCCCCCGAACCCACAAGCTAAAAACAGATGATTGCTTGGCTTTCTGGAAGGTGACATTGTTATGACTATGCAGCATGAGCCATGCCTGACTTCCTTTAGTAACATCACTTCAGACCCAATGCCGAGCGTTAGTAATCGACCACACGTTTCCACTGACACGTGACTTTTGCAGGCAACATCCAACAAGTGGAAGAAGCGCTGGACAAAAAAAAGATTTTTGACGGATTGGCGGTAATAAAAACAGTCAGATACCATCTGTGGGCACATCTGCTATTCCTTCATGAAAAAAGCCTCGGACACACAAACTAACCGGTGTCCTGTGAAACCACAGCTCCATTTCTTGGGCTCTTTATAAACACATCCCAGGCCAACCAAATTCTAAAACATATGATTCATTCCAGACATACCACATTTACCTAGGATTGATGCTGAACTATTTGAGTTAGTTACAATGTGTAAAAAAACAACAACTGGTCAAACCAATTCATCCCAGTGGGCTCAAGGTATGTATTTGAAGATTGTGTCTAGTTGGAGCCCTAACTAATATAACGATGATTAAAGCTAGTCCACATTTAGACAGTTTTGAGTTGCTGAAAGACAGACAGATGTGGAATAGACAGAAAATATCTCTAACATAATGCTGGCAATGCTAAGTAGTTTAATAACAACAAACATAATTGTTTGTTTGTTATGTCAGCGTGTTGTAATGTAAATACTGTTAAATCTTCCACTGGGAAAATGTGTTGTCTAAAAATAAACGAGCAGTTATGGATGTCCAGTAAATGTAGTATATATCTCGCTCTCTAAAATGTAGCAGGTTAGACGTGTCTGGCAGCATAAAAGGAATATATAGTAGGACATCAGCATCATGTACTTAAAGGAATGTGCCCACTGTCCAGCCGCCCTAACCAGAATCACTGGGGTAGCCTAAGCAGTACTGTCCTCACAGCCCAGCATCCAGTTGTGGTTTGGTGGCCCAGTAAACTGAGGACAGGCCGGGCCCCTTTCTTTTGTAAATCCAGTTCAGCTGACACGACTATAAAAGAGAATGAAAGGAATGCAGATGTCCAACTGTCAGTAAAGAGAAAAACTGAAACATTTTCGACAATAAAAAAAGGAACAAGTGATCTACCAACAAACTTTTGAGGCGCTGGGATCACATCAGGGTGACTGATGACTTAAGAAGTCGAAGATTTTTTTTTTCTTTCTTTCTTTTTTGTTTCCATCCTAAATGTTTTACATTCACCTGATAAAGCAGTGACCTGCCACATGAGCATTCCTGCCCGGTGACGAGCCACAGAGAACGCCATGAACACCCAGAGCAATCTCCCATCTGGAGATAAGCGTGTTTTGTGCGTGTGTGTGTGTGGGGGGGTAAGTACGTAACTGTATCGTGACACTCACAGCGGAAGGATGGCGAGCCTCGGCAACTGCCGAAATCATCCCCGTACGAAGTGGCGGCGTGGCGGCCTGGGTACGGCGGGGGCACGGAGCCGGAGCCCAGGCTGCTGGAGACCCCCGCCATGCGGGACTTGGTCTTCAGAGCCTGGCTCCTCTCCTTCTTCAGCCTCTCCTCGTCCCTCAGCAGCGCCACCAGCTGCTTGGCCTTCTCCCTGACGTTGATGCCCTGGTCGCGGCCGTCCCGGTCTATGTACTGGAAGTCCCTCAGGGTCTGGACGGTGTAGATGTTGTCCCGGCACTCTTTGGCCACGCGCTCGGAGCCCGTCTTGACCAAATAGTCCAGCAGCGTGAGCGCCTTGTACACGTGGCGCCAGTTCTTGCCGTGGTCGTTGAGCCGCTTCCAGATCATGCCCATCACCTCGGTGAAGGCCACCACGTTGAAGGTCAGGTCCGCGATCTCGGACATGAGGGAGCTGGGAGGCCCCCAGTGGTCGTTGGAGGTGGCCTCCCGGACCTTGATCTCGGCCTCCGTGTAGTTGTTGACCATGTTTTTCATCTGCCGGCGGAGCGAGGAGGTCTGCATGGCGGCGGCGGCGTGTCACAGGTGGCGGGGGGAAGGGCACACTGCCTGGGGCAGGACAGTTCGCTCAGCGCAGGAGAAAAAGCCAAGAGAAACTTCAGGAACTTTTACAAGCCGGATCCTGCTGGGAACACACAGAGACGGTTGGCGTAAAACTCAACAAACACTGAATTTAAGTAAAACATTAGTCCGTACCGATAATCTTAACTCTTTTTTTTTTTGCCCCTTACAGACAGGATTGGCGACAGCAACTCAACTGCCTCATTATTTGTGTGCGGAAGGAGAGAGCAACAGCCCAGCTCCTCCAGGCAATGTGAAACAGAACACCTGAGCTCAGTTTTCCCCCTAAAACGACTTGAGGAGATCTCCGAGTGCACGTGTGAGCACCGGCCATCGTCGCCCTCCCCAGATCTCACTTTTCCTCAGAAGCAAATATTTGCTTCATTCCCAGCCCGTCTGCTGCTGCTGAAATCTGCTTTTCCCTTTGAGTGTTATCAGAAATGGGAGGGGCTCCTCCACCCGCCCCTTTTTTCTTCTGACCCGATTACATCACCACAGCAAAAGGTATGGCTTCCACTTAAAGACTCCAGAACTGTAACTAAACGGCTGAAGTCTCACACGTCCCAGTGACACCTGCATAGTGGATCACCAAACCTTTTCATTTGCATTTTAGGAAAAAAGCAAAGCACAGTCACTCTGCCCTGAACGCTGGAACTGTTTTGTCTAACCTAATCAGGGGAGCAGTTGGTTCAAACCGCAACTGTCTCAACTCCTCTCAGTCACTATGCTGTGTCATGGGTGAGAACTCCCAAATCAGGGAAAAGGGGAAAGAGACGAGCCACAATCGTGATGTCAACCCCATCCAGTCGGTTAAAGTTCGCTGTGAACAAACAGTTTGTTTCTGATTAAAAACACAGAGATGTTTGACTAAAACATCACACACACTTGTGGGTACACTATGAATTCAAGATGACAGCACCAAGCCTGATAGCTCACAGCACTGTATGCTGTCAAAGGACTGAAAATAGATTGTTAAGCGGTAGTGACAGAAAAGCTTTGTGTTTCAGATGGCCACCGGTTCAACCTAAATTAGAGTTGGCCTAGTATCTCATTAAGAAACAACTAGAGGAACACTTTAAATCTGAAGTCAAATAAGTCATTTCCTCTACACTTTCTGAATATGAAAATTGATAAAGTTGCAGAAGGTTTAAGCTGCCATAAACAAAAATAGTCGACCCAAACTCACCCATGTTTTCTATTTGATGATGGATCTGACTTCTGTTATATTTCTAAAGTGGGACTGGAGTGTGTGCCACTCGAATGTATTCGTATAACAAATCAAGGCAAAGTTCGTGTTACGTCTTAAGATGACAACCTCAAATACAGGAAGTACTAAGGAATCTATTCGGGGGCGTCCAGTCGAGTGGAGAACATTCTTATTTCAGTATTATGAAGAAGAAAAGTCCTTATCTAATACAGTCCAAACTACTCCTAAGTTCCTGCCTTCGATCTCTCCCAGGCATGTCTGTATTTGTTCCACAATCCCTGAATGAAAATGAGGGCGTAAACTCAACTTCTTTCTCCCAGATGTCCTTTCCGTCCCAAACCAGGACGCCCGACTAGAGCCCACATTGCGTCAAATGGGACGATCGCGGAGGTTGGAGTGTGTAAGTGACGGTGACTCAGCTCTGCTTCCGAGTTCAAAAGTTAAAACATCGACCATAAACTCTTAGGAAAACGTCAAATCGCCACCGATCGGTCCATCGCTTCCACTTTCCCTTCTTACCTTCATGCCATAGCGCGTCAGAGGGGTCCCAACTTGGGGAGGATTTGGGTGGAATGGGAAACGTCCCCGCCTCTCGGTATGTCCCGCAGATGTCCGACAGAAAAGAACTAGTGCGTCCCGTCTGTTTAACGCTCGGACGGAAGCATCCAGCGAAAAAAGCGCACAGGTTACCATCCACGGCCGGGGGGGGTTTGTTTCAACTTCAGCTGTCTGTGCGTTTTGGTAAATTCAGCCGCTGAGCCTGTAGATGGCACGGCCCCCCCTCTGAAAACACGGTAAAAAATGGATGGAGAAGAGCGAGGGGAGGGAGGCCTGCACGGTGCATGCAGAGTCAGACTTAACCCTTTCACCGCCTGCTGGAAAACCACCTGACCGTGGCTTTTAACGCACGTTTGCTATCCCAGCCCGGATTACGCCCCAAAACAAAGTATTTACAACCCGTCTAAGTGGAGACGAGCTAGTTTTAAAGGTGGCTGGCATTAGTTCCCAAAGAGCTGCAGTGATCTCTTTTAAGAAACGTATGCAAAATCAGTCAGTAATATTATCATTTCAAACATTATGTAACATTCTCTTACTAGGTTACCTCACAGGCAGATTTAGAGGGAAAACATATGTGGCAGAATAAACTTGTGACAAACATTTTTCTCGTTCCCTTACAGAAGTTCAATAGAGCAGCTGCACTTGAAAAGACTTTGACTGAAAATTTGTCCCAGAGGAAGCCTACAAAGAGCCACATTTCCTCCTCTGCAGCTTCATCATTGCATTTCTGCTCTTTACTTATTTATTTACTCTAATGGGATGTGGTGAAGTCACATCCTTATGCATTATACATGCAGGCGCAAATCTTTTTGGGTGTTTGCATCAGTGTGTATTCAGACCAATACAGGAAGATATTTCACACAGTCTACATGAGAGGGGGAAAAAAGGATCGCACTGTCACACTGAGTGAAGATTGATTATCTAACTGAGGGAGAAGCAGCAAGAGAGATTAGTGTTTCTGGTGGTAGACAGAGCAGGATATACAGGAAATACCAGCTCCACCTTGAAACAACAAAAACACTCCTGGAGACGATAAAAGGGTAAAGTGCACGGGAATCGAGTTCACTGAGCACATTGTGACAGGCTCTCAGTGCTTTTTCCTCCTCAACGAATGCCCACGGTAAGTTTTTATGTGTGTATTCCCCACAGAAGTCTGTCTTTTACTTGTTACCTCTCTCAATTTGTTTCCACAAGACTCCCTCAGATCAGTTCAGTTAAACTAATTGTCTTTACGTTTACTCAAGCTCAGCCCCTCTCTATCTTTATTTCTCCTGAAAACAGATGCCTGAACATTCTTTGTTTCCCAACAAAGGCGTGATGAGGTCAGTGAAGGGAGGACATGCAGGCGAGGTCTGGGAAACAGCGGGGGGAGGAGAGAGAGGACAATCTGCAGTGATGTCACACATGGAGAGGAAACCTGACAACTTGTATGTATGTGTGTGACCCTACGCTGGTCTTGTAGGGTCATCAGGCCACTTGCACCGTCACTTTCACCGTCACTGCCCTCTATGTGCAGACAAAAATGAAGTCCTTAGAGGATTCGGCTTAAGTATATAGTTGGTTAGGTTTAGGACTGGGCTCACTATGATTTTGGCTGGCATAGGTCTGCAGGGAATCAAAGATGTCTCTCCTGGACAGCTCATTTGGGTGTTTAATGGGTCAAACAAAGCATTCCCAAGTTGATTTATACTTTCCTTCTTTGTTTCTTTGATTGAAAATCTGAAAACTTCTTTCCATCCTTCCATTAAAATGTGTTATTGAAGACACCAGAAACATGTAAGCTCATTAGAGAAATAAAACTTTCCCACTGACCTCATCCTAATGAATATTTTTGGAAAAACGTCATGTTTTTGGCTCCATTCAGGAATTGGCATAATCATGCCACAATTTGTATTTTTTTACTGCCATCTGGTGGCAGTATCTCAAATTATTTCTATGATATCACCGAAGGCTAAACAACCACCACAGACCCCTCTGATTTTGATTTCATGACAGAAATGTTATTTTTCATCAATTTAAAAGCCGTCTTCATGATGAATTTGAGCTGTTTATGAGAATGAAATCTTTTATCCATAAAATAGAGATATTAATAAACACTGCAGTCGAAACAGGATATGTTATGAATGAATCATATCTGAGTCAGCACTTTTTCTCGTCAAATATAAGAAAGACCTCATATTTAGATTTCATTTAATTGTACTCATGCAGTGGAAAACGTTTGTATGAACACAACTATGTGTCAGTGTAATGAAGCAGAGGAAAGTACTGTTTGTGTTCAACTGGCCGAGGTAGAGGTGTCAGTATTTCACTAGTTTATTTTCAGCAAATACACTTCAGATTTCTCAGGAAAAATGTGGATCACCTTTGGATAAAAAGCAGCCACACAATTCGGAGATAGATATGTTCACTGAGAGACAAAAAAGCTACTCCTGTGAAAAAACAAAGCTTTTGGGGGGCCATGTAATCAAATTATGTCAAAGCCACATATCTATAGACGACAACCCAAACCAACCTCTGTTAAGAAAGGGCTTTGATAGAGGTAATCAGCAAACTGAAGATGAACATCGGCTCTCTGAAAACTTCTAAGGCTTCATTATTCAGTTGGTCTAAAACTTAGATTAGATTAAAAAATTATAGGTACAACAGAAGGAAAAACAAGGGAGAGGGACTAGCACCGTGTTTTAAGCCCACAGTGTAATGCAGAGGTGGAATGGAGTTGTCACTTCTACCTTGAGGTAAAAAAACAACTAATAAAGACAGCATTCTCTCATTTGCATCGGTGAATGGATGATAAACCCAAAAATGTGGCTAAATTTAGAAATATCTACCTGAAAAACAGAATAGGTAATGAGAAGTTAATGTCTCAGATTCTGCATCACCCACGCTACTTTGATTCTTTACATGGTAGTCTTAAAATCAGAAAGCAGAGCCTTGCAAATGCCTGCTTTCTGTAAAATTCAAGGCAAGTAAAAGGTAGGCGTTCTGTATTGCGGATAGTTACAGCACTGAACAAGAACGGTGAAATGAGACAGACGATTGTGTGGTCCATCCATTCAGAGTGTCTGTCCTTGATTTTGTTGAAAAGGGTAGTTTGATTTTAAAAAAACAAAGTGTTCCAGCATGTGCAATCACATGGCAAATGCTTTTGCACTGCTCAGTCAAATTTAACTTGTCCTTTGGTTTTCATTGTCTTCTTGCTCAATAAGTTAACTCTAAAATGTCTGGATATCTTTCAAAGCACATGAATTGAATGTATTTATTTTTACCACAAGTAGTCCTAGTTCTAAAAAAAAAAAAGTCAGAAGCCACAGGTACAGAGAAAGCAAAGTAATAGCTAAATATCTGCGAGAACAAATGAAAAAATCAATACATGAATCTTTAAACAAAATCGTTTAAAAATACATCCATTTTTTTTTTTATTCCCACAATAGATACGAATGGGTACAGATGAAAAGATAATTATTTGGGTTTTTGGGGGTCCTTTTTGTTTTTTGTAACTCTTCACGGTCACTGCAGGGTTCAGGAACACTTAAAAGAAACATTTCAAAACAGTTTGTCACCCCAGGTCCCAGAGTGTGTATCAAAAAGTTGTGCCAGAGAAACTGGTATTTTTTTTTCTGTTGGTGACATCAAATGATAGTTACATCACTTGAATGACTGAAATTGTGAATATTTTAAAAATTGGGCCAAACATTCACAGATGTGTCTCATTGCTGATAAAGCTTTGTTTAAATGTTGAGTCTCTCCAAATGGAACAATTACAGCCATCCAGTGTATTGATGGTGTGTCAGTTTCATAATATCATACTGCTGAAGGTGGATGTGCTGCAGGGGACTCGTCATCTGGCTCCGTGAATCACACACCAGAGAGAGCTCTCGCCTTTTGTCAAGTCGTGATCGTGAAGAGGCTGGCGTGTGAGCAGGGTTCAAGAATGAAAAAATCCGCACTGCGCTGTTATGTCAGGATGTGCACGAACTCGCTTTAAAAAGGCTTTTGTTGCCATATAAACACTGTGTTGTGGTTAAAAAAAACACATGTAAATACAAAAACGCAAAATGAGAACAGAACAAATGACTATTATCTCCATGAGAGCACTGTAGGAAATTAGATGAGCATAATTAACCTGCGTGCACTTTACGCCTCCAGAGCCTGCAGCAAAACAGACCATTGTGTGAACCCCATATCCATTTGCTCATAATCCATCCGTTTACCCTTAATGATTCAGGAAACACCAGCATGTATACTGCTAAAAATAGAAAAGTACATTTAATGAGAGATCAAAATGCACTCTATTTCTGGGTGAGCACTCAAACAAACTCAAACTGGTCCAAGCGAATAAAGTTTGGCTTGGATCATTTAAAACGCCATTTGACCCAAAACTCAACCGCTGTACATTAACATGTATATTTCTAGATTTATCCAGAATTTTTTTAATTCTATTTAGGGACAGAGGGTGGGAGGGGGGGCTTTGGGTTTCTAAAAAAGGAATAGTTTCTGACCGGCAGTGATGACGCATACGCTACGCTGCTCGCAGAGCAGTATAAGAGAGCACACTCCGCTCTGCCTCCGCGGACACATGGGGGAGAGACTGAGGGTTCGACTTTGATAGCCTCACGGTTAACAGAGAGATGAACACAACCGAGAAGTTTTACCTTCCCGTTGATGGCATCCTCGAGCTGTTCTCCTCTGTCACCGGGCATCACCAAATGAGCACTGCGCGCCTAACCGTCCGGAGCAGAGCGCTCACCCCGCACTCAAGCATCCCCAAAACAGGCATGGGCATTATCAGAACCGTTAAGGGCTGCTGGAGACGGCAGGACAAGAAAGTGGTTACGCGTAGGTCGTCAAGTTCAGGCAATCGTCAGCTTTCAACCGACCGGCTCCCTAAAATATCAGCAGACCTGGCGGAGTTAGGTCAGACCAAACCCCGAAACTGTCACAGAATAGTTGCGCTGGGGGCGCCGAGAGTCGGCAAAACCAACATCCTCCGGCGGTTCTTGTGTGAAGAATATGAAGAAAGCTATGAGCCAACGGTGGAGGACTTCTACAGAAAGCTGTTTCGTATTGGAGGAGAGGCATACCAGGTCGATCTCCTGGATGCAGCAGGGGAAAGGGACTTCCCTGCCAAGCGGAGACTGTCCATTCTGACAGGTAAGAAATATTACGCTTCATTGGCAGAAAAATTGGATAGATACAGTCACTCAAGATAGTTGTATTGACATTATTTTACATATATATGTATTTGTTTAATTGCTTTTAAGGCATGGCTGCATTACTCTGGAAGGGGCCAGTGAAAATTAAGTTTTTTTCTCTTTCTCACTTCAACAGGTGACATTTTTCTGCTCGTCTTTAGTTTGGACGACAGGGACTCTTTGAATGAAGCCAAAGAGCTGCTCAGTGAAATCAAAGCTGCGAAAGCAAAGTTGCTCAAATCGAACTCTCCGGTCAGGGTGCCGGTTGTGGTGTGCGGCAACAAAGCGGACCTGGAGGGACAGAGAGCCGTGAGGCGGTCAGAGGTGGGGCGACTCCTCGGTGAGGACGTCCCGTACTTCGAAACGTCCGCGAAAAGCTGCTCTGGGCTGGAGGATGCGTTCAGGGCCCTGGCCGCCGTCGGGGGGATGCCCGAGGACACGAGCCCGATGAGGCATCGGGTCGTGCCCATCCTCGCCTACCAGTCGATGGTGGTCGGCGGGAGGAGGAAGCCCCCCCCCCCGGGGTCTGGGCCCCCCCTGTGCCGCCGTGGACCCGCATGCGCGCCGTCCCAGCTTCACCAGCGACCTGCGCCTGGTGCTTGGATCAAGCACCAAGAACAAGAAACCCGAGAAGTGTCAGATTCAATGAATTGTGAGACTTTCTCGACAAAAACAAATTGTGGTAGTATGCTGCAATGTCACATATGTAAGGAGTTATACTCTTTTAGCACTCGGCTGGACCGGTGCTTTCTTACTATGTTTTTGTATGGCTGTGTATTTCACTCTTTAATAAAAGTTGAAGAGGCTTTAATTGCCACGTTTGATCTCTTATGTGTCGTCATTATCATTCACTGATTTGTTTCACAACCGTCTTAAAAAAGATATATATATATATTACGCACGAAAGCAATCAATTGTCTTCAAAGGCTGATGAACAGCTTGGGCAGAAGTGTGTGGGAGGCAGCTCAGCTGAGAGCTGAGATCCTTCAAATGTAGACCTTGAGGGATGCAGGACTGGATACAGGATGGTGATAAAAGGTCCTAATGCCTCATGAGATCTCTTTTACAGGCATAAAACAATTATGCAATAAACCTACGTCTCCATCACCATAGCAGAGGGTTTTCAGGAAACGGAGAACAATTGATTTAAGAGGAGGAGGAGGGGGAGTGTGAAAGAGTCATGATGAAATCAGCACCATGGAGAGAGCCCACTCTCACTCAGATCAGATTCAGCTGTGTCACACCTCAGAGAGCAACGTTTTTCCTGAATTCCTCCTCTGCTTAGACCGCTTTCGGTTTGTGGGTCACACACATTCTGCCAGTTTACGGAGAATGCTGCTGTTACATAAGGTTTTACATAAAAATAGTACAGAAATGTGCTAAAGAAAACTCCAGGGAGAATAGAGCACAAATTAGACTTGTGATTTAGTCAGTCTTCGACGTTGATTATATATAAGAAGACATTACATTAGAATTATATGATTATGAATTGATCTGAGGTCTTTCTTTCTAAGAGGTGATTTGCCTGTAAGCAGTACGACCATTAATGTGTGATATTACATCCATTTGGTCTTCAGGGTCATTTAGAAAAGCACATCACTCTTACATTACGTGGACTACCAGTAAACATATTATAAACAGGCTTCCATATCAATTCAATTTCCTGTGTACTGGGAGAATAATGATGCTTAGATAACTGTAAAATGACATATTGAGAAAAATGTGCTAGAGGTAATTAAGGGATAAGCACCTGGAAGCTTTTAAAAGGATATTAACATCTAATATTCTAAAACTCATAAAACCGATCAATGACAACATAAGGAAGTGAAAAATATTAAAGGCCTGGGGAGGAATTATGTTGTTTCCATTGCAAGTGGTGTTGTGCTACCTCCAAGGAGAGATGTCCAAAGGAAATCTACCATGCTTACTTACATACCTGCTTTTTGTCTGCCTTATCTTTTTATGCTTTTTTTAAATCAACAACCAAGATCAACAACCAAACTCTAAATTAGGCTGTATTTTATTAGGCTATAATTTCCATCAAATGCCACTGAGGGTCTGGGGATAATCTTTTATTTTATCCATCAGAATACACCGAGAGGTCCCCAGGTTTCCTTTGAGGGATTTGCCTTTTCAACTCAAACAACAGCACTGGAAGGATGCTGTCCAGTAAGGCCAGGCCGTCCCAGGAACAACGCAGACCCCTTTCAAAGAAAAGACAATGGGAGAAGTCACACAGACAGAGTTTTCTACTATTGTCTAAGAAAAATGAGAGGATCAGGCTATTTTAGACTGTAGGCTTAATTCCAAGTGATTGAACTGTTTGGTAATAATTGCCTTCTATATGGAGAAATGTTATCTATGATGAGAATGCAGAACAATCCGAAAAGATAAATGACAGTTAGAAATAACCTGTCATCAAGAATGAGCTGTCCACTCTGCAGCAGCTGTCTGACCTCCACAGATCCACCAAAGACTTCATCCAGGGACATTTGAGGGCTAAAAAACTCCCAGTGCTGTAAAAAAAACACAAGATGGAGACAAACGTCATCTCGTTTCCCACAAATACCTGAATGCTGAACATTTTCTTCAGTAAAGCGTAAAGTCATAACGAAGGGGTTTATTGTGTGCTTCACCTTGTGATTAATGCCTTTTGTCATCCTCATTCCCATCACCAACACCTCCTCCAATCTGCCAAATGGAGATGCGTTCAGCAGTGAGCGACACATTGATTCCAAAGACACAAGGACAACTTCGATAATAAGCTTTTCACAGGGACGAAATGTTCGAGGGAACAAGCACAAGCGCAGAGGCCTTGAAAACTTCAGCTCACACTCTGTGGATTGGCTGATAACTTTCACATTTCACGTGGGCAGGGAAACTATGGAAACTGCAGCTGTTCCTACTCATGTGCGAAGGCCAAAAATATTCATTTCCAGACACACCACTGCCTGTAAGTGCTACGGCTCACAGTTCAAGATGGCTCAGTAGTATCCGCCTCCGTGTCCCATGGCCCCTCTGCTGGACTTCACGGATCCACACGTCAGGCTCCAGAGTCTGTGTCCGAGCCTCGCGAACAACACCTCCCTCCCCAAGAGGGACAAAGCGTCCATGGGCACCTGTTAGGGTCACATCTAAATCACTTTTCCGTTTGTAGTAAGATCACAATTGTCTTTTTTCCCCCCATTAAGAAAACATTACCTGGGCCAATACCGATGTATTGCTGTCCTTTCCAGTAGCCCAGATTGTGATGACTCACTGAATTCTACGCAACAAAAAGAGTGTTATCATGAAGCAGAAAGGGTGTTCTGTGTTGTGTTAATGAGACCACATGGAGTCAGATTCTAAGAATTAATGAACTATTCATCAGGATAGCACAAAAAAAAGCAAAAAACAAAAACAAAAAAAGTTAAAATTGTCTTTTCCAGGCATGGTGCTACTAATCCAGATGCTTACAGAGCAGGGAAACAGCTGCACACCAGCCACTAATACACTCATTTCAATGTGGATTTTCTGAGAGGGAGGGTTCAGCTCTTTCCTTTCTTTGTTTTTTGGAATTCTTTAAATTAACTACAACAACTGCAGACAGTTTGCGTATCTTGACTTACACGCCTTGCAAAATTGGACACCTCGTACTGCTCAAAGCCGTGCTGGTGGAGCGTCCTCCTGGCGCACTGGTACATGTCCGCCGTGGCGTCCTCGCCGGGCACGGCGGCGCGTTTGCTCTGCACCTGTTTGAATAGCTGCGTGCCTCTCTCGAGGGTCAGCTGATACAGGGACACGTGGTCGTCGCACGCCGTCAGCAGCTCACTCAGCTCGTCCGCCCAAGCCTCGACCGTCTGCTCGGGCCGGCCGAACATGACGTCCACGGACACCCTGCCAGGGCACAGCCTCCTGGCCTCTGCAATGGTCTGCAAGGCCTCTCGAGAGCTGTGGTCCCTTCCCAGACTTTTTAAGTCTTTGTCCTGCAAAGACTTTAAAAAGATTGAAAATGTTAACCAAATTTAGAGTTGACGCTTTGGTTTCCGCAGCGGTGAGAGATCGTGTTTACCTGCACCCCGATGGAGAAGCGGTTGACCCCCGCTCGGACGTAGTCCTCCAACCTAGACGTTCCGGCCGGGGTGGGGTTGACCTCCAGGGTGACCTCAGCTTCATCTGGGAGACTGGCCCGCTTTGAAACAGTGTCGAGGACGGCGGCGATGGTCGAGGGGTGTGCCAGACTTGGAGTCCCACCGCCAAAAAACACAGAGCTGATGCTGCAGGTCAAAGCAGAGAAAGAAGAAGGCCGTTGGAACAAATCTTTAATGCTGGTTGACCAAAAGTGGAGCGAGCGGCATACCGTGACACCTGACTGAGTTGCAGCAGCGTCTCAGCTTCCCTCTGAAGGCACTGAGTCATGATGTGATCGTTCTTCTCTTTGGGGATGTACTTGTTAAAATTGCAGTAGGAGCATCTCTTGAGACAGTAGGGCCACTGCAAAGGGAAACCATTACCATGCTGTTTAAACGTGACCTAAGGAGCTCACCTGTGCAGCAACAATACCTGCTAATGCAACAAAACCTATGTACCAATCTCAGCTTAAATGTTAGAAGGGTTAGGTTGACCACAGCGAGCTCACGTGCACGTATAAAGACGCCTGCTGGGTGAGGTGGGGAGAGGCCGCACGCCCCAACGCGTCCTCAGCCACTCCTCCGCCGTAGAGGCGACGCCGAAGGGCGGTGAGGGTACGGCTGGCCTCCAGAAACCGGCGTCTCCTCATCCTGGAGACAGTTTGTTTCCACCTGAGCTGTGAAATCTGACTCAAGTGTTGACGCAGGACCCGTGTCAGTTTCTACGATAACTGCGTCCTAACAAGGGGCGTGAAGTATGCGTTTGTACATAACTTCCGGGTAGCTATGACGTCACTTCAAACAGGAAACACGTCCGTGAATCCTGAATATTGCACAGTGCCTCCGCACGGGGGCGCTATCCATCCAGAGCAGGAGTCTTTCGATGCACCAAACCGCAAAAACAGCAGTGACGAAAGTCTTCTCTCTGTTAGTGACATACTATATCGCTACTGCAAAACAGTTTGAATGGTGAGTTGTACTGTCGTTGTTTTGTTTGGATAAATAACATGTAGAGGGTTCAGATATTTATTGCCTCTATTAAAGTTTTTATAAAA